AATAATAATAATAATAATAATAATAATAATAAGAAGAAGAACAAGAAGAAGAAGAAGAACAAAAAGAAGAAGAACGAACTGAACTATTCCAGCTTTCTGCGCGAGACAATCCCGCGGAAATAGGATATCTTATGTTTTCTTACATAACGTATGAGATCAATAACTCTTACGACAGGCGCCCCAATTACAGCGTATGTTGATGTTGTTTTGCATATTACCAACAATGTTTGGAATCTTTATATGAGAAATCAGAATATAGTTATCAAATCTTAAAACTGTGGGCATAAATGTAGAAATAAACTGCATTTACCTGAACTTGTGTTAATTGTTGCTTTTTCTGTGTAACCTGGGATCATTTCTTCACCACTTGCGGGGTTTTGCGGCACGTTGTTAGTTCGGTCTTGTTTTAATACATTTATTGAGGCGAGGCAGGTTACTGTGTCCAACCTCGACTCTCAAATCGCTCTCGCATCACAAAGCATCACTCAAATTCGCCATAAAACTAAAGGACCAATCGACTACTCTTCTTTAATCCCTGATATCATGAAGAAGGGAGTTTAAGATACCATGACGGCGACGGCGGGGAAATCATCTCTTGCAAAGAGAAACTCGCGGTTTTTCAATCTCTATCGCGACTATTCCAACTCACCTCCTTTGTCTAATGCAAGCGAACTCTTCCGGAGTTGAATTCTTAAGAACCATGTCCAAGTTCAAAGCAGGAGAAAGAGAGAAAATTTCGTCGTCGTTTGTTCACGTTTACCCAAAATGTGGAACTTGGTAATTTCACGTCGTAGTCGTAAAGTGACGGCAAAGAAATGTGCAAAAGAATGTGCTGCACGTGCAGAGTTGTTGTTTTACATAAAATTCAGCTATAGGCCCTTTACAGCTTGCCATTCACGTGGTACGAATCCGCCATGCTGGGACGCAAAAATCGCACTGGGGCAAGACCAACCAAAGGGATACGTAATTTTTGTTTGTCTTGTCCCAGTGCGACCAATAAGATAAGCTTAATTTTAGTGTTAATTTTTGCCATGTGCTCAGCCGATTTTACTGACGATCCAGTCAGTGTTATGTGAATTGCTTCTAACGGTAAACTTATGGGTTTTCGAATAAAAATTTTCAAGAAACAATTTGTCTGTTTATTGTTTTCTGTTTGTTCATTCATAACATTAGTTGAAAATATGATTGCCGCATCTAACTCTTTAATATTATTGAACTTGCGTTTCATCCTTCTTATTCAGTGTCTTATTACACGCATCACTTCTGCGAAGATGTCAGGGAATTTTATACAATTTATACTTTCCAGTTCAGCAACTAGTGAATTTTTTTTGAAAATATATGTTACTTTTTACTGTAGATAGATTGTAAGTGATTTTTCAAAGGTTATTTGCCCTAATGGTAAGGCAAAAACCGTTTTTGAAGAATCGCTTCTCTTTTAATACGGTGCATGTCATTGGCAGTCGACTTTGTCTCGTTAGAAAGAACTAACTCAGTCTTGGTCGTTTGGAGATTAATACTGCATTCCGTTTTTTGTCAAATATTACCTAGTAAAACAGTAAATGCTTTTTGCACCGCATCATTACAAGTTTGCACACTTACAGAGCACTCGCGCGACGATCTCACTTATCAGTAATTCCATATTAGGAAGTAAATTTTGATTGGTTCCCTAAAAAACCCGGGCATTGCGACAAAGTTGTACGCTTCGGGGTTATATGCTTCTGGCTTGATAAAAAAACGGGCACAGGACTTTTATAAGTTGCTTTTGGCACACGTTTTGGACATGGGCACGTATTTATATAAATATCTAATCTCACTTAACGTTCTTCAAAGAAAAATTGAAACTGTATCCAATTCACTTATTATTGATATGCAAACGACAAATCGAATAAGCAAGCAGTTAAGTGAAATAATTTCTATGTACTGATGTTTTTCTTGCAGGTTGTTTAACAATTGTGTGGTGTTAAAAAAAATAATAAAGAATATAAAATACATTTATAGCGGGGCTCCCGCGCGCGCGAAGCGCGCGTGGGACAGAGCCCCATACCCATGGAATATGGTCAACCTCTTTTCGTTTGGTTGTCACGTGATTGACCGAGCGTACGTACGTACGTACGTACGTACGCGTCTACAGATTGTATGGGTGGGGTAGGGGAGACTATCAAAAGGAAGGGAGGGGTGTCTCAGGCGTGTATTGGCAAGTCCACATCTTTAATATAGGACATTAACAATATGGTCAATTGACAGCTGTCCAAACAGGATAGCCACTGACCAGTATCCCATGACCATATCGCGGGCTCATGTGTCAACTCATCGAGGTGACGTGATTTATTTGGAAGCTGTCCGCTGACCAGTTAACTGTTTTACTAGATCGCGAACAACGTTCAATCTCATACTTTTACTAGTTTGGGAGCACAGGAAAACTGATAATGCACACATATTGGACATCAATGTTTTGATCAATTGACAGCTGTCAAAACAGAGTACCCGCTGACCAGTATCACTTGACCGTATCGCGGGCTCAGGTGTCGACCCGTCGAGGTCAAGTATTTTTTGAAGTTATCCGCTGACAAGTAAACTAGTTTTCAAGTGATCGCAGGCTCAAGTACAATTTTTTTTCTTAATTCATATGAAATATGCTGTGTTTATGTGCTGGACAATTAAAATTTTGATTGCAAACTGACCTCGGACGTGAAAATTCAGCCACCTGTTACAGGCAGGGAAGACAGTTGCTTTTGTTTTTTCTCACAATGGTCACGCGTTGGTCACGCTCTACGTCCAATTTTTATGCTCTGATTGGTCAAAATTTGACAGGTGAGTTCATGCGCAAAATTTATGCAGCATCTTGAATCTTGTTTACTTTAACAGCTGAAGCTGACAGAGTTTTGTGTCAACTTGTGATGTTTTTAACTGTCTTTTTCCACTGGATGTACAAAATGAAATTCAGCTGCTATCAGGAGTCTTCTGTTACTCATGGCTAGTTTGTTTATTGGGTTTTTGGTTGAGAAAACGTCGCTTGTCAAAGTCGGAAATCCGATTTCGGATGGCATCGTTTTCGTTTTCACCTTGCTTGATGCGTAAGAGGATTGCAAAGTCTGAAGCGATACTGGCTTTACCTGATAACTTTCAGGAGCTGCATCTCGAATGGTAAGCCAGAGAAATTATTGTATTTCATGTTTGTTTTTTGTATCTAATTTAATGAAGTGGAGCGTAGTTTATGCGGGAATTTAGTTTATGCGCGTTTGTAAGATTTGAGACAACGATCTCACCGAGTATCTGGTTTGATATAATCTTACAGAACTTTAAAAAGCCTTTAGACAGTTTCTCACCGCAAATAGAAAGAAAATGTTCCAAAGAATCTTTAGTTATAATTCTAGCCGGAAAAGAAAGCTTTGAGCGATTTTCTTGCCTCGAGTTCGTCTTTGAAAAAACAAACACCGGGAAGCTGGCTTAAAACATAAACTTCAGCAAACTTAAGCTTGAAGCTTGAAGCTTGAAGATTCAGGATATTTAGGGACACTTTAATACTTGTCTTCCCGAATGAAAATTGTTGTCTCTGTTTATGTTTCACGGAATTATATTTCTTTTATTGATTGTTAGTAGTCTCTCTTGCAATTTTAATCGCTATGCCGATTGTTTTCAGTCGTTCAGTGAACATCGCTTGCAGGAGTTCTCAAAATGCCTCGCGTTAAACCATCAAATAAAAAATAAACATGATAAATTCTTTATTATCTTGGAGCGTAACTCTGTTAATGTTCATTCAAACACTCGCTACAGCTCGCACTACAAAAGTGAGAACCGGATGGCCGTATAGGTGATTTTGGAAAATTTTTTTAACAGTTTATGAATATTGAATGAGAGCAATTTGTATTGTGAAATACTGCTTTCTGTCCATGGTATGAAAGGTTGGTTTAGACGCACCCAGATTTGTTGGCAAGATTTTGCAAAGTAAACTTGTCGAACGCCAAAACGTTGGCCTGGTTTTTTTTTTTAAGTTTCCTAATTGATCTACGGTGATCAATAGCCATTAAGGCTCTTAAATGTGATAAAAGATGATTACCAGTTTTTGAGTGTACATATGAGGCTATCAACTCGATGTAAGATTTGGTTCACTCTTGGGCTGTTTGCAAATTATTTTTCTCTAAAATCAGGTAGCCTTTCCCTCAAAAGTCACATAAATGTGCTCTAAAGTTAACTGAATTGTGGAATTCGAATACAAGTTTATTGTTTAATTTAAATTATAAATTTACTAATGGGAGCCTCGCTTTTAGCCCTGGCTAAATCTATATATTAATGAATTTAAACTATCAAAAACATTAAAGAGGCTTTTATGGGCTATCCTTAATTATATCTTTTTTCATTATTCCCGTTTTCATAGGCTTCGTTACAAGAGGAATTATTTTGTTGATAAAAAGGTGCTTGTTTGTATTTTATTTCCGAATCAAGCCCAAGAGAAGAATGTATGTTTGTTTTGAAAGGGGAGACTATCATATCAAGAAATTAATATCGTATCATGAACGCAATTGATGATAATTGCTGTAGGTATACCTGTGGCTGAGAGAAAATGTGTAGACACGATCATATCCCATCATGATGAATATTAAAACGACAACCGTGGTCAAATATTAAGCGACTGTATTTTAAATGAGGTTAGATGGTAAACTCTTAGCCTACCATGTAGACGTTACTGTATTTCGTGATGTTGGGAGCATCCGTATTTATAAAAAGTCAAAGAAAATCATTGTGAACGGTAAAGGCAAACCATGCGCTCACGGCTTCAGTTTATTGTCGTGATTACTAAACGAACCCAGAAAGTCAGTTATATATGCGTTTAATGACCAGCTACTTCTGTTAAGGGGGCTGGACAATATCCAGCCCTATCTATCTACTTCTATCTACTTCCTTAAAAGTTAAAAGTTTTCAATAGAAACGATTACGATTTAAAGTTTTCTTTGCTGTGGTCGTCGTGGTTACTAGAGGTTCCTGTGGACTACTACAGTGCATTAGATAATAAACAACAGCACTAAAACAAGAACCAGTACAGCCTGCAAATTATCAGTTTTGGTCGGACTAGAGGAATGAAAGGGGTTGTTGAGTTCCTTTACTCCAAAACATTGATCATTTCCCGTCGCCCCAGGATCCCGATTGTTTTCACAGAAAGGATTGTAGTCACTAACACCCAAGTCTAGCAATTCCTGTTGACTAGATGAAAAGGAACAACCGGACGCTGCCAGGTTCTTCAAGCACTTCTTTGCTTTGGCGTATTCCCTGTCAAAATCAAAATAGACAATGGTTCAGTTTCAGGTTGGTGCTGGAAGGGCGGGAAGGGAGGGGGTGGGGGTGGTGGGGAGCGAGGTCGGGGAGGGTGGGATTTTAAGGGTACCAGTTCCCACCCCTTCACTTGCCATCTCACACTGAGTAAATCAATTAACCCAAGTAAAAAATGCTTAATTAAAAAGTATTTCAGGAATTGAGTACTAAGAAATTTCTAAACTATTAGCGTGAAGCAACACGTAACAGCAATAACGTTGTCATGCTACTAAACAGCAGAAACAAAGCAAAACAAAACAAAAGAAACAAACAAAAGAGTAGAAGGAATAAATAATTTACGCATTTCGCATTCTGAAGTTTTGATTATCTGAAAACACTTTTGCAGTACGGAGCAATTAAGTTACTTCAGTGTGACATCAGCTGAGTTATTATATTATTTGAATAAAGTCGATATACTGTCTTGTCTTGTCTTGTCTTGTCTTTTGTCTTTTGTCTTGTCTTTTGTCTTGTCTCTTGTCTCTTGTCTCTTGTCTTGTTTTGTCTCTTGTCTTGTCTTGTCTTGTCTTGTCCAGGCCAGCAGCACATACCCAGCAAAAATTAATCCAAGTACCCCCTGGAGGAGTTTGTGGTCTAGGAACTGTATTGTTACTATTCAACAGGTTTTGATTTTAATATTTGCCTTCGGGACTGAAACATTTCCGGATAGTTCAAGAATCGGGCCCCAGATTCCTTTATGCAGTGCCAGCCTGCCTATTTTATCCTGTTTAGTTTTAAATTAACTTTTTAAATCTATTTTGAGAGTCTGAATGCAGGTACTATGAGTTGATGCTAGGAACCAATGAGATTTTGCGGAGTACCAAAAAGATATTTTTTTTTTCAAAGGTCTACAAATGAAACGTTAGTTACTGATATTATGTTGATATTTACTTTCACTAGGAAGTATACGTCGTAATCAGTGTGTTTTTTAGCTTCCCACGCAGGCGTTTTTAGGGGAGCGCGAACATGGCAAGAACAGCAAGAAGACAACTCCACTGACGATATAAGTTATTTGGAGTATATTTGCAGACCTGATCAGTCCTTTACCTCCTAAACTTCCCGACAAAAGTGCACTATCGATATGAATTTAACATCGACCTAGGTAAGCATGCTTTGGCTTGTTTTTAAACTTTAAATAATTTTGCACAATTCTTCATATCCTACTCAGACTTGTTCAATAATTGCTAAAAAGTCGTTAGGTGCCCCTGGAGAAATGAAAGGCTTATGCATGGTTCAATTTGACTTGTAGCCATGCCCTCCCGGGGCATAACCGCGGGAATCTGCAGTTTTCCTCTTTCTTGGCGGTATATTCCCCACCCCCCGTACAAAAGCAAAACGAAACCTTTTCACAACTTTTATAAACGTTTTCCAGAGTTTATTGAGAGAAGGATAATGGGTGAAAACGAAGAAGAAAAACTACAAAAAAAAAGCGCCTCCTTGATAGAGGGTCTCAATGGGGTGGTGGCTTTTACGGTTATCGGCTAAAATTTTGGCTCTTTTACGGCTATCGGTTAATTTTTTTCAGTTGCGGTTAAAAAAAAGTTAAAAATTAATTTCTTTGGTTTCAAAGGGTTAAATATTAATCAACCTGTATTTTTTGTACCTTTAAAATAAAATAAAGGTCTTAGGATCATCTACGGATGAAATAAGCTATTCTTTTGAAAAATTTTAACGACATTTCCAGCATACTTTATATAAAGTTTTCCACTTCTAATATTACTTTAAGCATAGAAATGCCAATAGTCAATTTAAAAATAATCTTTGTGAAAAGCAAAAGTAGACACGCGAACGCCCAACTCAAGCCAGTGGCGCGACATTCATTTAGAACATAAATAGCCGTTTTCACACTAGAGACGGACTATTCGTGTGAGACGGGTTATCCGTTTGATAATTCGCGTCAGATAGGTCCCACGTCTTAATTTGAAAATTGAACATATGGTTTTTATTTTGAATGAACAATCCGCCTGACTTTATTCGTCAATTTTGTCGGACAGTTTGAAGATGGATCATCCGTTTCAGATAGCCAGTGTACAAAATTGACATTCAAACAGATGTTTACGGCTACCACCCCGCTCTGTTTTGGGTTCTTTCGGTGTCGTGTTTTTGTCTTGCAAAGTTAATTTTCACGTAGTACGATCAGCTTTGCATAATCCAATGTGTCTAGCCTGTGCACAGCCGCTTCCTCCCCTCGGAAAAAATAGGACAAGGGGTGTCTGTCGGGGAGGGGGCGACTGTACACAGGCTAGTGTTTTGGTCAGCGGTTGTGAGATTGGTCAGCGGTTGTCATGCGAGCATGGCCTGCTTTTCTCAGCTCTGTTAATTTTACTTTTATAGTTAACTTTTTTCGTACTTTTTCGTTGTCTCTTATTTACCTACTGTACCAGAATGGTAAACTGCTAAGATGGAGCAAGAAAAAACTAAAATGGAGGCGATGTTGAGATCCATTTTGGATGAAATCTTAGAATTCAAAGTGACGGCCATCTTGTCATCCATCTTGGACGCAAAGCTGAAGACTTATGAGGTAACTTCAACTTTCGCTTTGCGGCTGTAAAAGTTTGGAATAACCTTGATGAAAGCATTAAACACCTCCCCCTTTAAATCCTTTAAAAACAAAGTCATGTCAAACATCTTACAGTCTTACTGTTCGTGAGTCTTTTTTTTTCCTTTTTCCTTTTTTTCCCTTTATCTATTTACTAATTCCTTGTTGTTCTAGCTTTAGTGCCAACCTACCTCTTATGCCTGAACATTATTTAGCTTTACTCAGCTCGATTAGCTTTTTAGTTATTCTGAGTAAATGTGACCTTTTTTTGTATTAATATATTATATTGTAAATTAAGGAGGGGGGCATTGGGGTATATTAGAAACCGCAAAACCGAAGAAAAAAATCATCCAAAACCGCAAAACCGCAAAAAAATTCGGCCAAAACCGAAAACCGCATACAAAACCGTCAAAAACGGATACAATGGTGACAAGTGGGGCATACAGAGCAAACTAAACTAACACTAATTTCACCAAAGTATTTGTGAATGTCATGGACTTTGTCTGAAGCCTTCGCATCTTTTTGTGTCTGCTCATAGGCTTTGTTTCTGCCGCTCTCTCCAGCCCAGACTTTGCGGCTCAATTTCCGAAAAGCCGCTAGGACCGCTAGTAATGGAGCCTAGTTAACTTAGGAGAATTTGCACACAAGTCCTCTTTAGAATTGCAATTTTGCAGTCGCAAAAAGCTATAGCTCTGGAAACTTCAATCGAAAATCTCTAATCGAACATTTCCATTTGATAACTAACACCTGAAAGTTTGGAGACTCGATTGTCTAACATGCGATTGCACTGAGCTGAGTCGACACTGAGGAAGCTAACCGGTACAATTAGTTCGTTTTCAGTTTTACATGGCAGCAGGAACTTGCTCTAAGGTTTAATGTGGTAATAAACAGATACGCAAAACAGCAGTCGATTATTGAACCTCACTGCCCTTCCATATCGCGACCTTGCACCAAAGAGAAAATTATATGAAAAACCACATCGGGTACCAAAACCGAAAAACCGCTAGTATTTTTCACGAAAACCGAAAACCAGACGCTAAAAAACGAAAAATCCGCAAATGACCACCAAAACCGAAAAACCGAAGTCTTTTGCAACAAAAACCGAAAAACCTCGGGAAACCAGTTAGTTTTGTTTTCCCTCGAGTCCTGATGTTTCAGGACTCTCGGGAAAACAAAACTAACTGTTTCCCTCGGGATCTGACATTAAGTGTATATTGTTGTTGTTGTTAGTCTCAGACGAATAATCCATTTCTAGCTCTAATGTGAAAACGACCAATTACAAAATTCCCGTTTCCAGTGTTTTTAATGATAGCAAAGGACTGTAAAGAACGACTGTCTGCCGTTGCCTTGTCCGTAGGCTTCATTATTCCGCGCGGCTAATGCGTTTCGGGTCACGTGGTCCGAGCGAATTTTTTTTCTCAGATACGCCACCGAAATGCCTGGACGGAGATTGCGTGGGAAGACTATGTACAGGGACTAGACATGGCAATGTCTACCGTAGCGTCAGAGAAAAACAGGAAATTGTTGTTTATCGTCAACGTGTTTTACAAACAGTGACATCTCTCCGTGTTGTTTCACTGGTATTTCGAGGGCATGACCCTCTGAAAATAGCAAATATTAAGAGGCTGTCCGCGTAAGAACCGATAAGGCAAATTTCGGTCTATCACGGATTGCCCTGATTTTTCCAGTGGAAGATAACTATCCTATCCCATGAAGAAATATCACATTTATTTGGACCAACTCATTTTTTCCTCTGTATTACAAGAAGATTTTCTCGGTCACCTAAAACTTGCCAGTTTGCCGTCGGAAGTGGTGCGATTTTAAGGAAACTTTAGGGCTCTTGCAAACCTACCTTACATAGCCGAATAAACTGATTATTTTACACACAAATGTTTTAACTCTGATTAATAGTTTCAAGGTTTAATGGTTACATTCTGTGGAAAGTTGGCTGAGATATGATTTTTTTAAAATGACCTTTAATTTGCTTATCGGGAAAAGTAATTTGCATAACTAGAGCTGAACGGTAATTTCGCAAAAGTGGCACCTGACCCAGACTCAAGTCTATGATAAAACAGAAGTACTAAGACGAGGTTCTCAATGGGGTGGTGGCTTTTACGGTTATCGGCTAAAATTTCGGCTCTTTTACGGCTATCGGTTAAGTTTTTTCAGTTACGGTTAAAAAAAGGTTAAAAATTAATTTCTTTTGTTTCAAAGAGTTAATTATTAATAAACCTGTATTTTTTCTAACTTTAAAGCAAAATAAAGGTCTTAGAATCATCTTGGGGTGAAATAAGCTATTCTTTTGAAAAAATTTAACATTTAATAGATCATACTTCATACAGTATTCCACTTCTAATATTATTTTACGCATAGAAATGTCAACAGACAATATAAAAATAATCTTTTTGAAAAAGCAAAAGCAGACACGCGAACGCTCAACTCAAGGCCGGGGGCGCGAATTCATTTATAACAGAAATGGCCGTTTTCACACTAGAGACGGATCATTCGAGCGAGACAGGTTATCCGTTTGATAATTCGCGTCAGATAGGTAATACGTCTTAATTTGAAAATGGAATGGTTTTAATTTTGAATGAACAATCCGCCTGACTTTATCCGCCAAGTTTGATGGATAGTTTGAAGATGGATTACCCGTTCCAGATAGCCTGTGTACAGCCGCCCCCTCTCCTCAGAAAAAAACGGAAAAGGGGTGTCTGTGGGGAAGGGGGCGACTGTGTACACAGGCTAGTCTCAGACGGATGATCCATTTTCTAGCTCTAATGTGAAAACGGCCAATGACAAAATTTCCGTGTCCAGTGTTTTTAATGATACAGAAAGGACTGTACACAACGACTGTCTGCCGTGACTTGTCCGTAGGCCTCATTATTCCGCGCGGCTAATGCATTCCGGGTCACGTGGTCCGAGCGAGTTTTTTTTTTCCTCAGGTATGCCACCGAAATGCCTTGACCGAGATTGCGTGGGAAGACGCCATACAGGGACTAGGCATGGCAATGTCTACCGTAGCGTCAGAGAAAAACAGGGAATTGTTGTTTATCAGCAACGTGTTTTACAAACAGTGACATCTCTGCGTGTTGTTTCAATTTCGAGGGCACGACCTCCTTAAAATCTCAAACATTAATCTCCAGCAAGAAGCCAGATTTTCCCTATGGAAAAAACTTGGTTCTTCGAGTGAGCGGCGGAAATGGAGCCTGGGTCTAGGTCAACACCTAAAAGGCGCTTGGCCTAACGTGCGTACGGAGTCAAAGTAGCCGTGAAATTAAAAAACCCAACCATAAGTGAATTTTATCACCTTCCTTAAAATTAACAAATCTAGGGAACAATTTCTTTTACGGTTAACTCTTTTTCACCCTATTTACGGTTAACGGTTAAAATTTTTCAATTTTTACGGCTATCGACTAAATTTTTGGCCGTTTTACGCCTATCGGTTAACCCCATTAAGACCCTCTAAGACCAGTCTACTTCTTAATGCAATAAAATTTGTGGGCACTCCTCTTTGCGTGCTGTACAAAGTTCCGTTAATGTTCCAAAATTCGCCATTTTGACGGCAAAGCTGGAATTGTAACGGTCTGCATCTGGTCGACTAATTTCCACAACTTTAACATATCTAGTTATCACTAACTGTCATGAGACCCTTTAAATGTTGGACTTTCGAAAACATGTGAAGAAAACTTGGTAATCGCTTTTTCTTGGTTTTTTTTCTTGTCGACGATGAACATGACTTCATTCTCCGTATGCAAATTAGCCTTAGATGCGTCGTTTCAACAAATTGACAGGAAATATAATACTCGTATTTCATATTTTTAAGGGAAAAATAACTCTTCTTTCTACGGAAAAACACGAACGATGTATGACTTAGAATCCCCTTGGGTCTGTTTCTTTTACGAGGAAGAAGCAGCAGAAGAAGAAATGTTTACGCGAATTTCAAAAATAATTTAATTACTGTGGCTCGTCACGCATTCCGCCAGAGTGACCGTGTATCGATCAGTTCTTTTATCTTATTATATCTTTTTTAAGGTGATAGTTATTGATAATCTTACAATTTAATCACTGTTAATTCCGATTCTTTACTGGGTGGGAAATACCGTGCTGTTGTATTTATTCATTCTACGACCGTTTTAACTGAGTCAGTCAGTCACAGGGCGCCACTAGGATTAATATGACGGCCCATGGTGTAATACACGACAATTAACCAAAAAGTAGTCACTTGGAAGAAAAGAAAAAGGCATAGTTTTTTGTTTACGGTCCGTCTCCTGTTAAAACCCAAAAGTTTTTGCCGGCTGTTAATCACACTAAATTAAGGATCCCTATGTTGTCTATGTTTACTACTGAGCTGATGGAGAAAAGCACGTGCTCTCAGTGAATGAAAGACGAAAGTTTGTAAATTAGGTCTCCTTTTCTTTCCCTGGATTTGAATGGTATTTTAAAGTGACACAACTTATTTTGTTTAGCATTACCCAGGGCTGTAGCTAGGTTTTTTTGTAACGAGGGGCATTATCGCGAGAGCCGAAGGCACGAGCCTTGTAGGGGGGTCTGGGGGTGTCCTCCCCTAGAAAAAATTTCAAATTTGGAGGCTCCGAAATGCTATTTTCAGCACTTGTCATGAGATATGTCTCCGAAAAATCAACCTCGACGATGAAAATGGCAATCAATTGCACTATAATCAACATAACTGAGTCTAAAGAAAACAAATCCATCCACAGACTTGATTTGTCTGGCTCAACAGGTCCAGGGGAGGCAGCTGCCCTACGGCTCTGTTACCACGTTGAACTGGCTTGGTTGATCTTTCTTTGACATATACATAGGTTGAAAGCTTCTGATTGAGGGTGTTGTGGTCTCAATTATTCTTGAGCGATTTCTGCAACAAGCTTTTGCCTTTCGAACACCTCGTCTTCTTGCTGCAGATCTCTATAGTCAAGTTCAATGTATATTCAAGTTCATTACATTGGTTATTTCGTCCATTGCCTTATTGTAATTACACTTAGGACTGTGTTTAGGTGTTGACTCAAACGGGCCTAGAGTCCAACATGGGCTGGCAATGGGTGAGCACGGAATTGGGGTGGGGGAAACTCCCTATAATGGGCTATACGGGGAGGCTCCGCCCGAAAGGGGTATCTTTTTCAGGCTTCAGGTATATGAAAGGGTAGGCATTTCACTAGATGAAGTATATGAAAGGGCGAGTGCGCTTATTGCAGCCTTAGCAGCACCTTTAGTGGTTCTTAAAGGAAAAAGAACTAAGTTTAAGAATTTCAGGAAAAAGTAGAAGGACTTAATTTTTCAGGAATTAATATACAGAGGAGAAATTTCACCCTTTAAGTATAAATGCTTGTAAAAGTAGAGGTGGAACCGGAGGGAGAGAGGGTGGATCGTAAAGTAGGTTAAAAATAGAGAGATGGGAGGAGCACTTTGATGGAGCACATTGTTCAAGAGGGTATAAATACAAAAAAAAAACAGCAATCTGGAGGCATTTTTGAAGACTTAATGGAAACGTTATCAAAACAAGAAAAACGGAGAAATCTTGTCCAATAAAAATCTCCGGCAACGGTGTGGACATGGTTGCTGACTGCTCAATCGTACTCTTCTCGACCCTTTGGCGTCAAGTTTTTCACGTTTCTTGCGCACAGGAGGAGCAAATCGGCTATATAAAGTTGAACTGAACATTCTGGTACTTTTAAGTCTCACTAATTTTTACAAAACCAGAGACATGTTTTAAACACTGTTTAAGTTAAAAAAGATTGTTTTTATTGCAAGAATGAAATACTTTTCACACACGTCCCAAGGACATTCCTCTTTGAAAATGGCAGGGGCGGGAAAGCCCTGGGGACGAGGTTGAATCCTGACTCCGTGTAGAAAGTTCTTTCTTTTTTCCCCATTTACAATGCTCTTCAAACAATCATCAGAAAACTATCTTCTACAACACACGGATTAACCTTTATGTATAGTATTTTATAGGTGAGAATTGATTAAAGCAAGATACACGGCTGTCAAAAAATAGAAATAAATAAACTATCTTTGCAAGCTCAACTAAACTGGAAACGAACATCAGAAAACATCGCAAGATAAAATGTTAAATGGAGAAATAAGAATATCTCTGTACGTTTAGAAATTTTTTGCGTGAAGAAGAAAAAAGAATGATACTTACATGATGCAGCAAAACTTTGACTTATTTCCTGCCACAGTAGTTATTTTGCCAGTATGATCCAGAGTGTGACCGGGGTATTGACAAGACCTTAGGCTCGATTTCCGCCGTCTCCCAATCCCTTGGGGGCTCATTTTCCAGCACAGCGGCTTACAATCGAGCCTAACAAGACCTTGGCGCTCGCAAAAACCTACCAAGGAGGTGTCTGTGCCTTGGGCAGATTGTCATGTTAGTGTTAGCCTGTGTACACACCACCCCCCGACCCCTTCGGAGAAGGGGCCCCTTCTCCGATTTTTCCTAAGGGATGGAGGATGGTACACAGGCTATTAGTGTCTGTGCCTCGGGCAGATTGTCATTTCAGTTCCGAATACCTACCAAACACTGTCGCTGAAATGAGTTCATTTAGTCATTGACTTTGCTACACTTAGGCAAGTGACAGCTGGCTAAGTGCGACGTAATATCATTCATGCACTCTGCGACCAACACATTTCCCTCCACACCCCTACTGGGACCACACTCTGTCTTGACGATCTCGCGAAAAGAACAGCTCTTTTAACAATTGATCTCTTTGGTGATTTCATTGACATAATTATATTTGAAACTGGCACCTGTTGCATTATAATTCAATTAGATTGAAACCAAAACAAGATCATCTTGGGAATACGGATGTTATACCCTAACAGGAGCCCATAGGCTCCTGACCCTAACAAAAACTAAAAACTGAGATAATCCCTTTTCCCCTTTCATTCTGCTACCGATAAATGCTTTAAAGATCTTTGAATGAAACTGAAATTTACAGCTAATTTGCCTTTTGCAAAGCTATACATGGATTTAGATAGAAAAGGTGTGGGGCATTTTTTTTAATCATAGTGCCGTGTACAAACATCTGATAAGCAAAAAAGAGTGCCCACAAATTTTATCGTGGTGACAAGAGGACTTACCTTGCAAGATAACTCTTATTTTTAATTATTATCATTAACTACCATTTAAAAAAAGAGAATAATATAATAAAATTGATCGATTCAACGCTATTGTTTTCTAATCGACCGCCCCTCGTTAGGAATGCGTGACAGGCCTCAGTAATTGAATTATTTTAAGCCACGCAAACGTATATCATGATATATTATTCAGCTGCTTCTTCCTCGTTAAACAAACAAAAAAAAAACAGACCTTAAGGGGATTCTAAGTGATGGTTCGTGTTTTTCTGTGGAAAGGAGAGTTATTTTTCTCCTTAGAAATATGAAATGTAAGGATTATGTTTCATGTCAAGTTGTTGAAACGACGCATCTGAGGCTAATTTGCATACGGAGAGTGAAGTCACGTTCATCGTCGACAAGAAAAAAACCAAGAAAAAGCGATTACTAAGTTTTCTCCACATGTTTTCGAAAGTCCAATATTTAAAGGGTCTACTGACAGTTAGTGATAACTAGAAACGTTAAAGCTGTGGAAATTAGTCGACCAGATGCAGACCGTTACAATTCCAGCTTTGCTGTCAAAATGGCGAATTTTGGAACATTAACGGAACTTTGTACAGCACGCAAAGAGGAGTGCCCACAAATTTTATTGCATTAAGAAGTAGACTGGTCTTAGTACTTCTGTTTTATCATAGACTTGAGTCTGGGTCAGGTGCCACTTTTGCGAAATTACCGTTCAGCTCTAGTTATGCAAATTACTTTTCCGATAAGCAAATTAAAGGTCATTTTAAAAAAATCATATCTCAGCCAACTTTCCACAGAATGTAACCATTAAACCTTGAAACTATTAATCAGAGTTAAAACATTTGTGTGTAAAATAATCAGCTTATTCGGCTATGTAAGGTAGGTTTGCAAGAGCCCTAAAGTTTCCTTAAAATCGCACCACTTCCGACGGCAAACTGGCTAGTTTTAGGTGACCAAGAAAATCTTTCTGTAAAATAGAGAAAAAATTGAGTTGGTCCAAATAAATGTGATATTTCTTCATGGGATAGGATAGTTATCTTCCACTGGAAAAATCAGGGCAATCCGTGATAGACCAAAATTTGCCTTATCGGTCCTTACGCGGACAGCCTCTTAATTCCCAGCAAGAAGCCAGATTTTCGCTAGGGAAAAAATTAGTTCCCCGAGAGAGCGGCGGAAATGGAGCATGGGTCCAGCTTGTCAGCAACTAAAAGGCGCTTGGCCTAACGTGCATACGGAGTCAAAGTAGCCGGGAAATAAAAAAAAACGCAACCATTAGTGAGTTTAGCACCTTCCTTAAAATTAACAAATCATAGGGAACAATTTCTTTTACGGTTAACTCTTGTTGACCCTATTTACGGTTAACGGTTAAAATTTTTCAATTTTTACGGCTATCGACTAAATTTTTGGCCGTTTTACGCCTATCGGTTAACGTCATTGAGACTCTCTTGATAGAACACTTCATAAGATCACTGGACTGAATCTCTGTTTATCTTTATATCAAACGCCTTGTATCCGTTTTCATATAAGTTTTCTTTTCATTAAAGCTAGGCTGAAGACATACTTTCTGTCCATCTTTTCCAAGAATTAAAATCCATTCGAGTACGTATCACACGCACATTCGTTTCAAATACAGACCTTTAAATACAGACTCTGAGAAGTTCCTGCGTCTTTCTTTAAAAATACGTAGTCTTGAGGTCCGCAGCCATCGTGAACCGCGCGAGCTTGGCAAAATCAAAGGGAAGATATTTTTGATTTGCCCCACCCCCTACTTTTGGGACAGGACCGCCTCAAACAATTTCCCAACCCCGGGCCCGAAGAGATGGGCTTGTTACGGGGGATTGCCCGGGGGGGATGGAACAGGTCAAATTGAACCTTGCCTTATTCATCATGCGGTACGTTTAAGTTCAGTTAAAACTAAAGGGCACGCCATTGTTACTAAGTTCTTGCTCAACTTACGAGCACAGCTCAGGATCCGACTTGTCCGCAGCGAATGTTTGATGGAAGGTTCTCAAACAGTTGTTTGCATCAGTGCTGTACGAACTCCTGCATCGCGAGCCCACCGAGGTTACCGGATTCGATCCTCCTTTTAAACAAAAGGTAGTTTCTTGGAATTTTTTGTGAACAATGCTCTCGATCTGGCTTTGGGGCAGTACATCTCCAGCACAAATATCAACCGTCTTAATCACGCATCTGGTCAGTTCGCTAAACTTGGCGCTGTCGGAATGTAGAAGGTAAAAATTTGCGTTAAAATTGATACAGAAAAAGTTATTTATTTCTAGAATTGAAGGCCAGCATTCCTTTTACTCTTAATTGGGTATGGTGACTTACTTTAAACTGGGGTGAGTTATGCGTGTTTTGAGAGAAAAGACTTACTGAAAACAGCATATTTCAAGGTTCTAACTGTTATAAACTTTACTGTACCTGCAATCTCCATTAGGGTCTTTCTGGAGTCCTTTAAAAAAGTGCGTTTGGCATTTCCTGGCATCACAGAAATATTCCATAAATGAACATGTACCTAGGTCGGGAAGAGCTGCTCCACTTCCAGAAAGGATAACTGAATGAAAGAAGGAAGATAGTTTTTACTATTACTACAATATCTGCCACGACCAATCAATCAATCAATCAATCAATCAATCAATCAATCAATCAATCAATCAATCAATCAATCAATCAATCAATCAGCTGTTTAATTAAGTAACCCATCTATGAATCAATCAACATGTCAAGCATTCAATGAAACATCCGCATTCCGGTAGTTTTTGCCCTCCCGACTTCCATCTTTCTGCAACAGTAAATTGGCATCTGTTCAAGGTGTGACCGATTTACAAGTTGAAATTCACACCTCTGAAACTGACGAATACTACATATTTTTCTTTTCGATGATCAGTAACAACCAAAACCAAAAATATGTATCTTGACTAATGCAGTTTAGTTTAAATTTATCGTGATTATCATGCATAATGTTGTGAAGTATTTTGTAGGTTATTTTTAGTTTATTTCATTGTGCTTGACGTTTCACTCGAGCCTAGTGTTTTGTCATGATCAGTTTGTAGATCAAGGTTAACAACCGTATTTGCATCGACAGGTTTTCAAATTCTATCACCTTTTAAAATAGTTTTTAACATGAACGTCCGTCATTTCTTAAAATTAAGTGCCAGTCCTTGAAGTAGGCGCGTTTTGGCACCATCGCTGACCTTGATTGTGACCTATATCAGAGTTCCTGCTTCGGTTTAAGATAGAGCCTCGTGGGTTTAGCTGTCATGTTTACATTGGTTTTCTTGTACTTGACATTATTGACCTTGTAGATTTGCGCGCGCCCCGCAGTCCATAAAATACCTTCGATTTATTCTCCTGGGGCGGGGCGTGGGGGGGGTATTCTTAGCACTTCGTGGTGGGGATGTGCCGTCTGACCTTCTAAATCCGTAGTCAAGGGTCTGAAATGACCAATACCTAAGACAAAAGTGAGGAAGAACCCACCAGGATTTTTGGCTCACAAAATGATGGCTATCAATTATTATCTGAGGAATCCGGGGGCGTATTCTTTGGAATAGACCCTGTCACGGTTTTCGACGCCATCTTGACGAGTAGGCAAACGCGTGAGAAATGGCAGTGTTTGTATGAGAATCTGATGTCGAATAATTTCCGTAAAACGGCTGTTCTAAAAAAAAATATGAATTGTAAACTAAAGCTTCGCGCTTAAGGATTCTACTGAAAAAAGTTGAGGGCGTTACATGCGCCAGAAAACCTAGCCCTAGCACTTTAAAATTTCTGTACATTTGTCTGTAAGAAAGTCCCGGGAAAAATTACAGACAGTTTTATGGAAAACCTAAAGCAAGCCTCTGGAGAAATTTAAGCACAGGTATGCCCCCAAAACTCTTTAAGACAATCCTTTGCTTTGTAGTTTTAGTTTACAATTAATATTTCTTTCAGAACAGAAGTTTTACGAAAATTATTCGACGTTAGATTCTCATACAAACACTGTGATTTCTCACACGTTTGCCTACTCATCAAGATGTCGTCGAAAACCGTGAAAACTCAAGGTCTATTCTTAGTGGGGTGTATTGTTCGACTTTCCAAATCTTACTCTAGCACTTATTTTAGATCAATAAGGCAAATGTAAAGGAGTACTCCCCTGGGGATGTTTGTTGTTAGGTGATAAACACCATAAATTATTAACTTGGTAACTATAATTAAAGCATGTATCACTAACCCTTTAACTGGCAAATTGTTTAGGGAGGTGGAAGCCGATAAAAATACTTCCAACAAAGAATATTTTATTTCTTGGCATCGATCTCGATGGTATGAAGTCAAAATTGACCCAGACTGTTTGTGAATATATTTTCCTTGAAGGTACCACGCATTCGGTACTAAAAAACCGACCCCAATTCCTGTTTTTGAGGATTTTTCAAAAAAATTAAAAACTTGACAAAACATGATGTGTTTCAAAATGGTTTCTTATAAAATTAATCACCGCATTTATTCAAAGCCAGCATAAAGTATCGATCCAATGTCACACAAGCTTTGTTTTGAGACCAAGAAAGAAGAACAAACAGCGTAAGAACTATGAAGAAGAAGGCTAAAACCATTGACGGTCTTCACTGACCGTTCGATACAAAATGGCGCTATCTCCATATGTTTCTTTGTAAAATGCCAACTTTGCTTCGAGTTACCTTTCAAGCTTGTAAATCCAGCACCGTTCCTCAACAGCACCACACACTTGAAAGTTCAACTGTTTGAACATTCAGCCTTGTAGTTCGCTGCAGAACCATAGGCGTACTGGCCGGGGGGGCGAGGGGGGCTGCAGCCCCCCCAAATTTTGGGCAACTCGGATTTTTTGGGCAGCAAGAGAAAATTTGGGCAAAGCCAGGTTTTAAAGACGTTTCGTTGTTTTTTTAATGTTATTTTTAAGAGATAAATATTTTATATTCTATTCTGATAAAAATCCTGACGTCGGTAGGCGTAATAATCAAGTTACGTTCTGTCGAGACATAGGTTGCCTAGCACGTGATGAGTTTCTGGTTATCAGGAAAGGGTATCACACGTTGATTTAAATATTTATAGTTTTTTAAAGTATTTAGTTAAGGTAAAAAAACCACTGCAAAAACCGTGTACGATCAATCCTGCTCAACGTCGGATCCGAAAAGATCGTGATCAGTCAAAATAGATCAAAACGTTACAATCAAGAAGACTTTTGCAGGGACTGATCAAACAACGTGAAATAGAGTTAAGTTGCGATATTTCGACTGGCCAATAGCAGTGTTCATCAGGTTTATATCAGGTTTTTTACTGCTGAGCACTGTACTGCACTGCACTAACTGAAATGGGCTCTCTCCAGTCGTGAATTGATTAGAATAAACTTCCGCATATCTTAATAGAATCATCTCCCGCTCGTAGAATAGTGTATGGCAGATAGCATCAGCAATGGATCTAAAAATGAAGAAGTGGCTGCTTAGTTCTCAGTTCGATAACGGCCAAACAGCAAGATTTTCGTTTTTTACCATATTTCTAACGATGAAAACGTCATTCCAAAATATCCCAATAACACTCTCACAGTTTCCGAACATCGAGGCGACTATTTGAGGAAAAAGCTTCCGTGAACGATTTTGTAAGAACAGTTCCCTGTGCCGAGAAATATTACTGCAAGTAATATAGGCAATGGCGTCATTTCGTTGCTATGACAACTCCGATGTCATTGCATTCCTGATCATGACAAATTTTCATCTTTATCTAATAAAACTGTGGTGGCAATTTTTCCAAATGTTTGTCTATGGCGACGTAGTTATACTCAGAATTGGGAGGTATTGACCCTGAAAAACCGTTACTTTATCGAGCCACCTTCATATGCCAGTGCGGCCTCTGTTGTTGCATCGTATGGCCCTCGTTTCTTTTCGACTGTACGTTTCGGAAAAATTCGGGCAACTTGCGAGAATTTTTTGGGCAAATGGTTTACCGCCCCCCCTGGCAAAAAATTTCCCGTACGCCTATGTGCAGAACTCATCGAAAAAAAAAAAAAAAACGGCGCAAAAACCCCACCTGATGGGGCGGCACATACCTATATGGCCTATATAAGGGAGTACCCGCGTCCCCCCCCCCCCCCTCCCGGGTTTGAGAGCAACTTGTGCAACCAGTCAAGATAAAATGATGCAAGATGTGGCGTAAAAATTACATATCTGTCCTCTGAAGTTGGCATGCAGAACAATCCACTTTGAAATTTGATTGGGCGAATTACAATATTGGGCCGATTTCTATTTTTAAACCACGCTCTTCCCCCGAACTTTTCGTTTCATTTGGCAGCGTGGTTATGGAAAACAAGAGGTTTTCATCGCATGCTCGTTATATAAAAGTCGAGGGGCTCTGGGGACGAGAATTTCTCAAAGCGTGACCGTCGAGGTTCTATTCAGCTAATAATTCTTTTCATTACAAAGATTTAAACTCTATACAGATGGCGTTGTGCACAACCGTGCAAAGATGTGCAAAGATGTGCAAAGATGCCCGTTACATGCTGCCAATAGCCCTGCCAATACCTCGTAAAAGCGAAGCACCCTGCTCAGTTCAATCAGTTGAATCCACTAAACATGCCTCTGGCCTGTAACCGTATTTTATTAAAATATAACATAACTAACTTTTATTAAAATATAAAATAACTCCGTTTAAAAATATTAAATTGGGGTTGACGCTGACTTTCCGGTTCGTGATTTTTATAGATAATAGCATGATTTGTAGTGATATTTGGCGTAAATACCACGACTGATATTTTGAAATTGACGTAATTTCACGAGCCGTTAGACGAGAGACAATTTGAGTGGAGTATGCCAAACATCACGTACAAATCATGCTATTATTTGTTTATACTTACTACCCGCAAAAGTTTCGTAATTTTCACATGCAGGAATTTCAAATTAAGCTGAAATACCACTGCTCGAAGCCAATCAAATTGCAGAAATTTCTCATGTCTGGGTATAAACCGGGAAATAAACGCTACCGCTGCTGGCTATAAAATAACGTATTTTAAATGCTTCATGCTCAGGCACGTCACAGCTTTACGGCTCGAGGGGTATTTGAACTTCTGCTTCATTTTGACTATAGCCATTTTAGTGACTAAAAGGAGCCGTTATGTCACGACGTTTTGATATTTCTTGCAAACCCAAGAGACACACACATTTAAGAGTTGAAATTCACACCTCTGAAATTAACGAAAACTTATTTTTTTTTTCTTTGACGACCAGTAACAACCAAAACGAGTAAAAGTATCTTGACAAATGTTGAAAATGCTGTTCTGCGAAATTTACCGTGATTATCATGCATGAACTTGTTTACAACGATTTTCGGCCATGTCGTGCAACACGTAAGGAATACTCTCACTGGTCTCACTGGCATGGCTTGTTTCTTCAAACAATCCTCGGTCTGCAGGGCTCAAAATATCGGACAGCAGGTCGCCGGTCCTGATGACCGGCCAAATATTTTTTAGCACGGACAAACCCCAATTTTGGCCGGTCAAGATACTATAATATATATATTTTTTTTGCCTAATGGAATATCGAATTACGCTGGCATTAGATCGTTGTAGTGCATTCACGTTCAGCTTTTTGGTAGCAAGTAGGTGAAAAATTCATTCACACGTTCTTGAGTTCCTTTCCGCGGTTTTTGCCCGTTTTCATGTCCGTTATACCTTGAGTATCATCGTACGGCGGTGTCTGAAATCCCCAAGGTTCGTCCCATATCTGCATATCGGTAAAACTTGATCTTTTTCGTTGCCCGGCACGCGATCGAAAGTCTCCTCTACAAAGAAGAACAACACTAAATATTTTCGGTAAAGAAGTTGATTTGGGGAATATCCGTTCCACAAACAGCGTGTTTATCATCAGAAGTCAATAAATATACAGCAGAGCTTTCGTTTGGGTCGTCGCGTAACACTTTATCGGGAAGGGCTCATTAACGTCAACAGAAATTTGCATAAAGCTCTTTACAGGAATGAGGGATAGACAACGTTCGTTCTCGATTAGCTTAAATTTTTTTATCATACTATTCTGGAATCGAGTCCGCAAACGAGATTCATGTTCGACATAAAGAAATTATTATAAAATCGATGTGCTAAAAGTTATTCCCGGAGAAACAGCTGCCGGACGACCTGGTAAGAATTGCGATCGATTTGCCTCTGTGCCTAATGTTCCTCTTTGCCCACACTGGTTCCTCTGTGCCTACTATTCCTCTGAATAATCACTAATTGATCTGTTTCAATTGCTATGTGTAATGATTAACTATTTCAGCTCTCGGTATTTGAGGGACAACCCCCAAATTCTGTCGAAGTTGATTTTCACATTCCTCTTACAAGTAGATGTGAAACGTTAGATGTGTTACAAGGCTTATCTTCCCGATTTTGAAGATATATGGAAAGTTAATAAAAGTTCGATAAATATCCGATCAATAGGCTTTTAAGGTTCTAGAGCATTCTAAGAGTTTACCTTTAAAAATGCAACGTAATGAATAGGCAATTTAGTAATAAGCTTTGCATACAGAAACATAAATATTAACAGTGTGCTTTTTGAGAGTGGGACATCTTGTCTCCAAATTTGACATCCCTCGGAAGATAGTTATCTTTTAAATGGACATTTCTACGTTTTTAGTAATTGACTTAGCTAGTTAGGGTTTTGTGGCGGGCTCGTTTTTGTTGGCAGATACATCCTATGCATTATTATATGTGTAGACATATGGTCAACGACCAAAAACAAATAGCGAGCTGCTAAGGAACTGAAGGAAGAAGGGTAAGCAGCTAGATAGATGGAGAAACAGAAGAACATCAGGAAGAATGTAGAACCGCCTTGCGAGTAAGTAAAATAAACCTTGTAAGTTTAACTGGCTGATTTTGGTGGAGTTCAACTTCAACTTCAACTTTCAACTTTATTTAAATTTGGAAATATAGCAAAAGATACATTGGGACTGGCCTGCAGTTAGCGAGGCTATCCGAGGCAGGCCAGGCTACATAATTTACTACAAACTAGACAAATACAAAGAAATTAGACGTTATATAAGTATATACATTTAACATTAAATAGATACTATTCTACTTAAATGCAAGGACAATATTAAAGTGGAATTTTAAAAATAAAATAAAATGAAAATAAAGGACAAGAGAATTACTTTTCCATTTTCACGATGATCGTATCCACATCAATATAGGAGTCTTCAGTTTCAAGGATATCGAGTAGCATTTCTTTTAGTGATCTTTTAAAAGCTTTTTTCGGTCTTTCTTTGAGAATTTGAGGTATCCCATTCCAAATTTTGACCCCAACACGCGAAAAAGCATTTCTTTTGACATTGAGTCGAGATTCTTTATTATAAAAATGTTTAGAGGTTGAGGCACGTGTGTTGTAAGTATGAACACTAGAAATTCGAGAGAGGAGTTTCGAAATATTATCCGGAGCAGCCCGGTTTTTATTTACATCATACATAAGACTACAAACGGATTCATAATATAGAGACTGTAAAGGTAGAAGTTTTGCATTGACAAGAAAAGGTATTGCGTGGTCGTTTGTTTCAGCAAAATATATTAAACGCAGTGCGCGTTTTTGAAGGACAAGAATTTGGTCAAGGAAAGTTTTACAGGCGTTGCCCCAGGAGATAAGACCGTAAGTTAGATAAGGTGTAATTAGTGACTGATAAATATTTAAGAGGGTGCAAGTGGGAACAATATGTCTTAATCTCGCAATTAGCCCAATTGTTTTACTTATTTTATTTGCAACAGAGTGACTATGGATCTTCCAAGGTAGATTTTCATCGATTAACAGTCCAAGATATTTAATAAAGTTTTTGCGTTCAAGGGTAACCTTTTTATTGCTGTCTTTTTCAAAAATATTAACCTGGGGATCATAGTTGAATTTTTCTTGGTATGGACGAAAAATTACATAGTTTGACTTTTTAATATTCAGGGAAAGTTTGTTTGAAGTCAGCCAGTCATACAAGTTGTGTAATTCTGCATTTACTGTTAGTTCCAGTGTCTTTAAATCTTTATGAGCATAAAGAGGATTAGTGTCATCAGCAAAAAGGAAAAATTGGAGTTTGCTTGAACAATATTGGATGTCATTTATATAAAGCAAGAAGAGAAGGGGACCTAGGACAGAACCTTGGGGTACGCCGCAATTGATATTTCGTTTACTAGATATATGAGAGCCGATTTCAGTACTTTGTGTGCGATTTGATAAATAAGAGGAAAACCATTGATTGACAATTCCGCGGAAGCCATAATAATTTAGTTTATCAAGTAAAATAGGATGATTCACAGTGTCAAAGGTTTTTTTTAAGTCAATAAAAACACCACATGAAAAAAGTTTTTTATCCATATTGGTTTGTATAGTTTCTACCATATCAAGAATAGCATGTTGGGTTGAGTGAGCTTGACGAAAACCATATTGAGACGAATATAATAGGCTGTGCTTTTCAATAAAGTCTCTCATTCTGTCTTACATAATTTTTTCGAAGATTCTATTGAAATTTGATAATAATGAAATTGGCCTATAATTAGAATTGTCGGTCTCGTCGTCAGCTTTGAAGATAGGTGTAATTTTAGATATTTTAAGTTTTTGGGGGTAAGCCCCAAGAGAGACAGATGTATTGAGAATATCTGAAAGAACTGGAGATATGACTTCGCTTGAGTATTTAAGAAGTTGAGTAGGACAGGAGTATAAGCCATGCGATTTGCTGTTTGGTATAGATAAAATTTGAATTGAATTTCGGATGGAGTTACAGGTCTGAAGAAAAACGAAAGTTCTGGCGAACTGGAGTTTCTTAGGTGGTCTATGAAGGAACGTTCTGCCGGTGGTAGTTTGCTTGCTAAGATGTTGCCAACATTTGAGAAATGTTTATTTAAGATATTAGGTATACGCGAGGAATCATTAGTAAGGTTATTGTTGTTATCTGGGTCTTTTAATTTACTAACAGATTTACACTTTCTTCTGCAGCGATTTAATAATTCATTTATGCCTTGCCATGTTTTTTTATATTACTTAAACTGTTATTAAAAAAGGCGCAGTAATAGTGTTTCTTACTCAAAAGTATAAGACTGCAAATTTTATTTTGATAATATTTATACTTTTCCTGATCGCCAATTTGGTACAGTCTGTTTTTTTCTTTGATTGACGTTCTTATACCTTTTGTAATCCAAGGCTTAGAAAATTGTTTAATCCTACATCGAGAGAGGGTTTTAATCGGTGCATGTTTATTTATAATTTTATTAAAATTTCTGTAGAAAGTTGAAAATAGCCCGTCTACATTATTTGCGTGCGTTTTAATGATGCAACTCCAGTCGATCGTAGCAAGGTCGCTGTTAAGACTATCGGGATTGAAATGCGAAAGATCGCGTTTTTTAATTTGCTTCCGTTTAATTTTATCTCTTGTTGATGTCAAAATACAAAACTGCGAAAAATGATCGCCGACATAAGTAATGAGACTTCCGCTGATAAGCACCTGCTCAGGAAGTTCACAAAAATGTTATCGATTAAGCTTGCAGAATTTATGTGAACACGTGTTGGTTTGTCAATAGTTGGAAGGAGATAACAACTTTGAAGAGCCAGTAAGAAGTCGCGACTGTAATTACAGGTTTCGATTTTTTGTAGACATAAATTAAAATCACCTAAGAGACATAAGTTCTTCCCTGTGGAAGTAAATTTGTCGATAGTCTCTTCCAAGTATTTAAGAAAGCTCTCTGGATAATTATGTTGACGGTATAAGACTCCACAGATTACGTTTTTCTTCTTAACAAAAGAAATTTCTATCCACAATGCCTGAAAAGATTCGGTGGAAGTTTTTTCAAAAACTGAATAACTAAGTGTTTCATGGACAAAGAGGCCTACACCACCACATGCTAGAGGTGTTGGAACGTGTTCAAAAACGTAACCGGGTATGTTTGAAAGGCCTGTATTCTCATTAAAATTGGTGATTTTAGTTTCCGTGACACCTATTATATTGAAGTGAATACCTAATTCTTGTAAATAATGAGTCACTAGATTTTCGAGGTTACGATTAATCCTACGTCGAGAAAGGGTTTTAATCGGTGCATGTTTATTTATAATTTTATTAAAATTTCTATAGAAAGTTGAAAATAGCTCGTCTACATTATTTGCGTGCGTTTTAATGATGCAACTCCAGTCGATCGTAGCAAGGTCGCTGTTAAGACTATCGGGATTGAAATGCGAAAGATCGCGTTTTTAATTTGCTTCCGTTTAATTTTATCTCTTGTTGATGTCAAAATACAAAACTGCGAAAAATGATCGCTGACATCAGTAATGAGATTATCGCTGATTAGCACCTGCTCAGGATTGTTCACAAAAATGTTATCGATTAAGCCTCTCCTTCTCGCCGACCCCATCAGTAAACGACACTAAAAAGCATCGTTTACCACTGGAGAAGCCTTCTTCATCAGTAGCACACAAAAATAACCTTTATCAGAGGTGGACTGAGTTACGTTCAGAAGAATGCTGAAAAAGAACGTTTATCAGATGGACAAAACTGTTAGCTATCCTTTAGTTTTCTAACGGATAACAGATTATCGTTAGTGTATTTTTTCCCAAAGACGGTCACACTATTGACTTTAGCACAAGCAGAAAGCACAGTACTACCTGCTGCATCGTTGCGTTACTCCAGCAGTTTGTTGTTGTTTCGCTTTGTTGCATTTCATTACGACATGACGACATGAAATTTATTGCGGCGTCCTTTTTTTCTTTACAGCCTTTAATGCGACACTGTAATTTTCAGGGAGTTATAATAACTCCTCTAGTGGGGCTAATTTAACTCCAGATAGTGGAGTTATTTTTCGTGGAGTTATTTTAACTCGAAAAAGGAGTTTAAAGAACTCTTGTTCAGGAGTAAAAGTGACCCCAGATCTTGAGGAGTTAAAATAACCCCAAAAAAGGAGTTATCCTGTACATAAAATTTTTACTCCACTTTCAGAGTTAAATTAACTCCAAAAAGAGTAACAACAACCCATGTAAGGAGTACAAGTAACCCCATTTCGGAGTAATTTTAACTCCAGACTGGGAGTAAAAAGAACTCTTTTTCAGGAGTAAAAATGACCCCAAATTCGGAGTTAAATTAGGACTTAAAATAACCCCAAAAATGGGGTTATCCTGTACCTAAAATTTTTACTCCATTTTTGGAGTTATAATAACTCCCTAAAAATTACGGTGGAAGCAGCAAAGAAAAAAAAGCCAAAGAGAAAAGAAGTCACTACAGCGTTATAGACTGAGCAAAACGCATTAAGCGACAACTTATGGAAAATATTATAAAATGTTCGTATCCAAAGATGACCGGTCAAAATGACCGGCCAGACGAGAGTTTGACCGGTCAAGTCCACGATCAGGCCGGACATTGTCCGTTGACCGGCCGTTATTTTGAGCCCTGGTCTGTGGTACTATAGCGTTAAAACACTGAGAAAAAAAAGCTGATTTGTATGCCTTTTTAGTGGCACTGGGTTGCTAGATGAAAAAAGTTTTCGCTGGCAAGCATGTAGTAATATTGGGCCATGCAATGCTCATGTACAATATCAGGTTGAAGGCTCCCAAACTAGCTATAAACAGGTAATCTGCAATGCATTAGCTCGAATAAGCGAAAGGGGTCCATACTGCATAAGTGAATGCAATGCGCACGGCTTCCTTGCTTCATAGAAAGTTATCCTTCTCACTCCTGCTTCACACTTTCATTTCAGCGCGTTTGAGCATGAAGCTCGCACTCGAGCCGGGCGCCCAGAGTAAAAAAGTAAGTGGTAAAAACAATTTGACTTACCAAGCACGAAAAGAAGGCTTTTAAGATGCATTTCTTATCTTCTCTGATGAATTTGCTGTGGGGTTTTCCTGACCTGTCCCTACGATCGATTTGAAAGCAGCAACTTGTTAAACCAAAAGATAAAATGATGCAAGGTGTGGCGTAAAACTACTAAACTTGGCATGCGGAACAATAAACTTTGAAGTGATTGGGCGACTCATAACACTTGTCGTTCACATTTGGCCGCGTGGTCATCGAAAAGGAACGGTTTCTCGCTCGTTCAAAAAGCTGAGGGGCTCTGGGGACGAAAATCTCTCAAAGCGTGACTTAGGTTTTATTCAGCTTATAATTCCTTTCATTACAAAGATTTAAATTGTCTAAGAAACTGCTTTCGGCACTCTATATTGGCGTTGTTCATAGCATGGCCCGTGCAAAGATGCAAAGATACCCGTTGCATTCTGTCAAATTAAACAATGCGCTTCAGAGTTATGTTTCGTAATCAAATAAAAAGCAACCTACTCAGTTAAATCCGCTGAATGTGCCTCTGGAAACCGTATTTTATTGAAGTACAACAAATAAATGAAAGGACACCTCTGAAGAATAAGTTTCTCTATCCAAAAAGCGCCTACAGACAGTTTGCCATGGCAATAAAATCAAAAGGAACGCAGTATCACGAGGGAAAAAAAACGGTAAAAAAACGGTACCGTAAGAAAGCTGTTTTTTTACACTGATATATATTTGTAAAAGGACAGCTTTTTTACAAAAATATATTTTGTAAAAAAACGGTCATACTCTAAATGTTGCTGGCGATTTCAGCTAGTGTTCATATTAAACTTGTTTAGCCTTTACAAGTGTTTTCTGGCTTATTTCTCGATCTCTAAAATAAAACACGCATTGTCGTACGTTACAGACCGCCTTTATAGTCCCTAATTCTTATAAACAAATCGGCTGCTGTGGTCTGCTGTTTTTATGGCCTTACAAGTTGCTCTCTGTATTGCAAAATTAGACTAACAAGCGAGTGTATGTACGCTTGTAGCTATAGGCTAGCGTTTCCTTTTGCTTGATTAGCCGACTGAACATGTTCCTACATCATGTTGAAAGCTTAAAGTTGTAACGCAGACATGACAATCTTGCATGCATCAGCATGGATTTCAACATAGCATGAATCCCGTGATAGAAGTTTAGCGCATCATACATAATACAGGAAATTGCCTAACAATTGCTGTCGTTGATTCTTGCTGGAGATTTTATGCTAGAAATGGAGTTATAATTTATTTATCCACTGCTAAGAGCACCAAAGCATTATAGCCAAGTATTTTGTTGACAGTTAAACCGATCATTGCAGCTGATAACCTTGGGAAAATAGATAAATAATACAGAACAATATTCTGTATAGTTTTCGGCTTGAACAAAAGTAGCAATGAAGGAGAGAATAGAAGTCTTTGGTTGCTGCAAGAGATTGTGACAGGCATTGCTTATAAATAAGACAGTGAATAACCCAGCTATTCTATTATTGCCTAACATGCAGTTACTGCCGTGCGTGACCTCAGCCGATAAGCATGACAAATGAAATTACTGCCTGTTCCTTCTTCGCATCCAACAATTAGAAGGTCCTGGAAAATTGAATGACAAAGGAAACAAGAAGAAAGAATAAAAAGAATAAAAAGAACGTAAATTTTTAACGCTGTCAGCGAGTTAACAAGGGAATTTAAATGCCCCACAATAAAGGGGACACGGGAACGTGAACGTGACTAGCCGCACGAAAACTACAGTTCAATAAATTTCGAACCATGCTATGGAAAACAGCCTGTCTTCGATAAATGAGTTTGTCAAATGGTCTATACGTGTAAAATAGCAGGATTTTACATAAAAAAGGCAGCTTTCTTACAAAAATACCTTTTGTAACAAAACAGATTTTTTACATAAAAAAGCAGCTTTTTTACAAAAATATATGTTGTAAAAAAGCCGCTTTTTATTACATAAAAAAGCTGCTTTTTTACAAAAATATATTTTTGTAAAAAAGCAGTATTTTTACGACCAAGTAACTTGTAAAAAAGCAGCTTTTTTTACATAAAAAAGCAGTATTTTTACAAGCGGCTAATTTGTAAAAAAGCAGCTTTTTTATGTAAAAAAGCTGCTTTTTAAAAAGCAGTATTTTTACAACCAGGTAACTTGTAAAAAAGCAGTATTTTTACAACCGCTCAATTTGTAAAAAAGCAGCTTTTTTACATAAAAATGACGCTTTTTTACAAGGACCGTTTTTTCATGCAACATATATATATATATATATATATATATATACTTAGTATATACACACTCAGTGATCTTGGTGATTTAAGCAATCTGATTGGTTCGCTATCTCGGACTATTCAACAATATTCACCTCCTAGCGAGTGGATAATGTGTGAGCTCAGTGTTTTTCCCATTTTTTAGAGAACGATCTTTTAAAAGTGGACAGAATCCTAGGGCTGACTTTTTTTAAGGCAAGAAAAGACTTGGAAGGATTCAATACGGCGTTTTTCAATTTACTGTAGCACTCAGTAGTAGCAGGAGTTTTGTGCTCGATGGATTGTTTACAACTCCCGTGTATTCGCGTAGAAGAAGCCGTTTCCGTTTTCTAAGAAGACAATTTTGGCTCAAAAATCGAAGTTTATTTATGAAAAACAAATTTAAAAGGAAATGTTTGCAGAAATTCTACGTTTCAAGTAAACAGGAAAAAGAATGATACAGAAAGACGACGTCTTACCTCGAGCAAATGAGCCGCCATTTTTGTCAGCACTTCATGCGAAGAACGACACAACAAACCCTTTTGGCTATAAACGTGGCGAGTCAACAGAAAACAACACAGCTCTACTTTTCTTCTCAGGTAAGGAAACAGTTCAAACTTTTAGCGGTTCCATTTAAGCCATTACGCTGTTGTTTGCGAAATGATAAACTTGTGAATTGCCATGTTTGAAATTTCTGCAAAGATCTATTTTTAAACTTACGCGTGATTTGATCTGTCAATCAAATCGTACTTTTGAATGGTTTCCTCTCTGATTTTGTTGAGATCACTTCATGTGTATATACTAAAACAATTATTCTTTTCAATCTCGGTGAATAGTGGCTTTGGGAATATTTACCTCGCCGCTTTCGCGTCTCGGTAAATATTTTGCCACTATTCACCTCGATTTCAAAGAATAATTGTTAAATATATACATATATACATATATATAACAATAATAACAATAATAATAATAATAATAATAATAATAATAATAATAATATTAATAATAATAATTAAGAAGAAGAAGAACAAGAAGAACAAGAAGAAGAACAAGAAGGAGAACGAAATGAACTATTCCAGCTTTCTGCGTGAGACAATCCCTCGGAAATAGGATATCTTATGTTTTCTTACATGACTTATGAGCGACAGGCGCCCCAATTACAGCGTATGTTGATGTTGTTTTGCATATTGCGAACAATGTATGGAATCTTTATATGAGAAACCAGAATATAGTTGTCAAATCTTAAAACTATGGGCATAAATGTAGAAATAAACTACATTTACCTGAACTTGTGTTAATTGTTGCTTTTTCTGTGTAACATGGGATCATTTCTTTACCACTTGCGGGGTTTTGCGGCACGTTGTTAGTTCGGTCTTGTTTTTCTATATTTAGTGAGGCGAGGCAGGTTACTGTGTCCAACCTCGACTCTAGAATCGCTCTCGCATCACAAAGCATCGCTCAAATTCACCATAAAACTAAAGGACCAATCGACTACTCTTCTCGAATCCCTCATATCATGAAGAAGGGAGTTTAAGATACCACGACGGCGACGGCGGCGAAAACATCTCTTGCAAAGTGAAACTCGCAGTTTTTCAATCTCTATCGCGATTATTCCAACTCAACTCCTTTGTCTAATGTAAGCGAACTCTTCTGGAGTTGAATTCCTAAGAACCATATCCAAGTTCAAAGCAGGAGAAAGAGAGAAAATTTCGTCGTCGTTTGTTCACGTTTACCCAAAAATGTGGAACTTGGTAATTTCACGTCGTAGTCGTACAGTGACGGCAAAGAAATGTGCAAAAGAATGTGCTGCACGTGCAGAGTTGTTGTTTTACATAAAATTCAGTTATGGGCCCTTTACAGCTTGCCATTCACGTGGTACGAAACCGCCATGCTGGGACGCAAAAGTCGCACTGGGGCAAGACCAACCAAAGGGATACATAATTTTTGTTTGTCTTGTCCCAGTGCGATTAATAAGATAAGCTTAATTTTAGTGTTAATTTTTGCCATGTGCTCGGCCGATTTTACTGACGATCCAGTCGGTGTTACCTGAATTGCTTCTAACGGTAAACTTATGCGTTTTCGAATAACAATTTTCAAGAAACAATTTGTCTGTTTATTGTTTTCTGTTTGTTCATTCATAACATTAGTTGAAAATATGATCGCCGCATCTAAGTCTTTAATATTATTGAACTTGCGTTTCATCCTTCTTATTCAGTCTCTTATTACACGACTCACTTCTGCGAAGATGTCAGGGAATTTTATACAATTTATACTTTCCAGTTCAGCAACCAGTGAATTTTTTTTTGAAAATATGTGTTACTTTTTATTGTAGATAGATAGTAAGTGGTTTTTTAAAGGTTATTTGCCCTAATGTTAAGGCAAAAATCGCTTCTCTTTTAATACGGTGCATGTCATTGGCAGTCGACTTTGTCTCGTTAGAAGGAACTAACTCATCCTCGGAGACCCAGGGGCAGTCAGTCGGGCCGGGTTAAAACGCGCGACGAAAGTTTTCAAGTATGGGCGGAAGAGTCCCTGGGTACCGACTCTCACCGGACCATTTCCAAATGGTCAAGAGAATGCTGGTTCCTGATTGGGTACAAAAAATGCTTTGTATTATTGTGCCCAATTGGGGAACAGCATATCCTGAGTTCTTTTCGTGAGTTCGTACACAACGGTTATTATCTCGCCACAGTTTTCCGGTTCGTTCAGCAAGCATTGCTAACCAGAAACGAAGGAACTACCGATGAGTCGAAAAACGTTTCGGATGCTATCAGCAGGAGCAATTTAATTTGCACTGAGAACATTCTGTTTCTGACGGATCACAATGTATCGTAAATAACAGGAAGTTTAAGATGAAGCGGCGACGAGAAAGTAAAAAAAGCAATAGCTTGACAAGGCAAAACAACAACTTTGCACGTGCATCACGCTTTTTTGTATAATGAGAGAAAATGAGAGCTCTCTCCTTTCTCTCATTTTTGCCTCGTCGTGAGAGACCTCTGCTAGCAGGGAAAACTTGGATATGGTTGATAGAAATTCAGCTCAAGAAGAGTTCGCTTGCATTTGACAAAGTAAGTGAGTTGGAATAATCACGATAGAGTCTAAAAAAATGTGAGTTCACTCCTCATGCGAATATTTCGTGGTTGTCAGCTCTCGTGACATACAAAATTCCCTAAGATTTACGAAGGCGTGATCGATGCAAGCGTAAATACCTAGCCTGCGAGCAAGCTCTCCTATTTGGGCGAGTGAAATGAGTCTCGCGAGAACGCGCGAGCGAGCGGCGAAGCCCCTCGCTCGCGCGTTCTCGTGAGGCTCGCTTCGCTTGCCCAAATAGGAGAGCTTGCTCGCAGGCTAGTGAATACCTGCCAGTTGTAAGCTCAAGCTTGTATTTTTGGAAAAGCGTCTTTAGTTTTTGTGTAGACAGTGGTTGTCTTTACACTAGGCTGGTAAGTAAGACTTAAGAGCTGGTAAGTTTTACTTAACCAAAAATGCGTGTTTGAAGACCTAAGCAAAATCTCAAGTACCCGGTAACTTTACTTTGCGTCTCATTAAAACCGAACGAACTTGCGGTTTCCAAGCTATGAGAAAGGCGAAACATGTCAATCAATCTTAATTATGTTGCGTGGGAAAACCTGAAGTGAAAAAGATAGGTTGTGTGTGAAGCTTTCTTTTACTTGAAGAATTTAAAATTTACTTGTCTTGAAATATTTCTTAGCTTATTTAGGCTCTAGTGTAAAGACTACCAGTATTTTGAAATGTAGCGTTTATATCAAACTGATAGATTCCTGACTGCGTGTGTTTCTTTGGTGCATGAGCCAGACAAGCCGTGATCGAGTCAATAGCCGTCGTGTACGAACTCACGAAAAGAACTCAGAAGATGCTGTTCGCCGATTGGGCATAATAATACAAAGCATTTTTTGTGCCCAATCAGGAGCCAGCATTCACTTGACCGTTTGGAAATGGTCCGGTGAGAGTCGATACCCAGGGGCTTTTCCGCCTGTGCTTGAAAACTTTTGTCGCGCCTTTTCTCCCGGCCCGACTGACTGACCCTGTGTCTCCGAGGATGGAACTAACTCAGTCTTGGTCGTTTGGGGGGATTAATACTGCATTCCGTTTTTTGTCAAATATTACCTCGTAAAACAGTAAATGCTTTTTGCACCACACCATTTACATCGCGATACAAGTTTGCACACTTACAAAGCACTCGCACGACGATCTCACTTATCTGTAATCCCATATTAGGAAGTAAATTTTGATTGGTTCCCTAAAAAACCCGAGCATTGCGACAAAGTTGTACGCTTCGGGGTTATATGCTTCTGGCTTGATACAAAAACGGGCGCAGGACTTTAAGTTGCTTTTGGCACACACGTTTTGGGCGTGGGCACGTATTTATATAAATATCTAATCACACTTAACGTTCTTCAAAGAAAACTTGAAACTGTATAGAATTCACTTATTATTGATAAGCAAAGGACAAATCGAATAAGCAAGCAGTTAAGTGAAATAATTTCTATGTCCTGATGTTTTTCTTGCACGTTGTTTAACAATTGTGTGGTGTTAAAAAAAATAATAAAGAATATAAAATACATTTATAATGAATTTAAACTATCAAAAACATTGAAGAGGCTGTTATTTGTTCTCCTTTATACCTTTTTTCTTTATTCCCATTCTCATAGGCTTCGTTTCACCAGGATTTATTTTGTTGATAAAAAGGTGCTTGTTTACATTTTATTTCCTAATCAAGCCCAAGAGAAGAATGTATGTTTTTTTTTGAAGGAGAAACTATCATATCAAGAAATTAATTATCAAGAACGCAGTTGATGATAATAGCTGTAGGTATAGCTGTGGCTAAGAGAGAATGTGTAGACGCGATCATGTCCCATCATGATGAATATTAAAACGACAACCGCGGTCAAATATTAAGCGACTGTATTTTAAATGAGATTAGATGGTAAACTCTTAGCCTACCATACAGACGTTACTGTGTTTCGTAACGTTGGGAGCATCCGTATTTATAAAAAGTTAAAGAAAATAATTGTGAACGGTAAAGGCAAACCATGCGCTCACGGCTTCAGTTTATTGTCGTGATTACTAAACGAACCAAGAAAGTCAGTGATATATGAGTTTAATGACCAGCTAATTCTGTTAAGGAAGCTGGACATTATTTTGGCCATGAGGGCCAATATCCAGCCCTATCTATCTACTTCTATCTACTTCCTCAAAAGTTAAAGGTTTTCAATAGAGACGATTACGATTTAAAGTTTTTTTTGCAGTGGTCGTCGTGGTTACTGGAGGTCCCTGGGGACTACTACAGTGCATTAGATAAAAAACAACAGAGCTAAAACAAGAACCAGTACAGCCTGAAAATTATCAGTTTTCGGTTTAGGAGAAGCTGAAATGGTAACGCGGAGAATGGCGCGAGTTCGCTGGGTAGGAATGATGACAGATTTGGTAGGATTAGAAAATTTGGTAGGATTAGAGGAATGAAAGGGGTTGTTGAGTTCTCTTACTCCAAAACATTGATCATTTCCCGTCGCCTCAGGATCCCGATTGCTCTCACAGAAAGGATTATAGTCACTAAAACTCAAGTCTAGCAATTCCTGTTGACTAGATGAAAAGGAACAAGCGGACGCTGCCAGGTTCTTCAAGCACTTCTTTGCTTTGGCGTATTCCCTGTCAAAATCAAAACAGACAATGGTTCAGTTCCAGGTTGGTCAAGGGCGAATCTAGCTGGAAGGCCAGGGGGCGGGGAGAGGGAGAGGTCGGGGAAGGTGGGATTTTAAGGGTGCCAGTTCCCACCTTTCGTTTGCCAGTTCACCCTCGAGTAAATCAATTATTCAAGTAAAAAATGCTTAATTATAAAGTATTTGAGGAATTGAGTATTAATTAATTTCTAATTAACTATTTGCGTGAATCAACACGTGCAGCAATAACGTTGTCATACTACTAAATAGCAAAAACAAAGCAAAACAAAACAAAACAAACAAACAAAGGACTGTGAAAGGTTTGAACCCAAGAGTCATTTCATAAGTAGGTTGAGTTTGATCGTCCGGGTGAACGTAGTCCTGAATAGGACTGTTGTTGTTGACAGTGAGCGACGTTTCGACAACCTGTGCGGTAGTCATCTTCAGAGCCAAAGTGAGTTGTATCACGTCAGTTGATGGTATTATACTATGGTTTTTGATCTGATTAGTCAATTACGTCGCGATGTTATTGGTCGTCTGTCAGTTAAGCCGTGATGTTATTGGCTATAACAAAGGACTGGTAGGAATAAATAATTTACGCATTTCACATTCTGAAGTTTTGATTACTCAAGCAGTTTAAGGCTAAGGGGTTAACCTGTTGAAGATGAATTATTGGCTATAACTTTAGCATAGACTGATGTCACTGAATCAAAATTTGGCACACATAAATTAAAGAACTCATCGTCCGTAACATTTTAAAGTATAAATATTGTGTTAATAGGTCACGTGATATGTCACGTGACCATTTTGCTAAAAATCGTAAATTATTGACCAATTGGTGGCCGGTTTAATAAAAAATCGAGCAATAACATTTTTCTAATTCATATTAAATATTTCTAACACTTCACGTTTGGAATGACCGTCCATTGCACTTCAATAAAAAACATAATTTTAAATGCCCAAATTTAATTTTGAATTATGTAAAACTTTAATTTTAAACTTCGCCTACATTCATTCCAAAAGTAGAAAGTTAGGTATGTTTATCCTCTTTCGGAAATGCCAATTTGTTTATTCAAACAAAGTAAATTCGCCACCAATTCGCTAATTTCCTTCATTTTCAATTTTTGGTCACGTGATATGTCACTTGACCATAATGAAACGTTAAGGCACGAGAAAATCTCAAGATTTTCTTTCGGGGAAAAAAATTCGTTTTGTCTAGGTCTCCTAGCGAGAGGTATTGCCAATCATTCATATGCTCAGAACACCCATTTGACCCAGGTTTTAAATCCCTTGAGTATTCTGAAAACACTTTTGCAGTACGGAGTGATTACGTTACAGTGTAACATCAGTTGAGTTGATGAGAACTTAAACTGGCCACTGAAAAGGCGTTTTCAGCTTCATTCTTTTGTAAGACCAATGGCCTGTTTCTCGAAAGTACCGGTAACTTTTCGAGCCCGGAAAGCTGTTTTGTGTTTGCATTCAAGATCAAAGTTTCAATAATTTTGAAATTAATGCAATGAAACTATAAGTAGTGGTGTGCCAGAAGAATTAGCAGTTTTTTTGGGCAGCAAAAGGGCAGCCTTTTTATCTTTTAGAGGGTCAGAGGCCAGCCACAGGCCAAACAAGCCAACCTCAGGCCAAAAAGACCAAACTCAAATAACAAAACAACAGAAGGAGTGAAAACAATAGAAATGTGGTGGTGGTGGTGGTGGTGGAGGAGAGAAACAATAGAACTGTGGTGGTGGTGGTGGTGGTGGTGGTGTTGGAGAGAAACAGTAGAAATGTGGTGGTGGTGGAGGGAAAACAATAGAAATGTGGTAGTGATGGAAAGACAATAGAAATGTGGTGGGTTTTTTTTCACTTTTCACGAAGCTGTGTTACAAAAAAAAAAGTTGAGTGTAGGGTCGATGTAGGGTCGATATGAGGTCGATTTTTTTTGTGGATGGAAAAATATATAGAATAAACGAGGTGGTGGAAGGGGAAAGAACATAATAAAATTGCGAAGGAGGGAATAAAAAACTTGAGGAAGGAAAATGATAAAATTGTGGAGGAGTAGGAAAATAAAAATGAAAGGGAGAGGGGTAAGTAAAACATTGTGCGCAGTGTAAAAAGAAGATACCTTGCCTTCTTTGACTATTTTAATAGAATATTTAATCTTACTTTTTTTGCAGTTATTTTAATAGAGAGTCATAAAGTTGATTATTTGTGTCTTAAGAAACGTGCCTGGTTTTATTGGGAGTGTTTATTGATTAGTTGCGTGTTTCAATTGATCCTTGTTAAGTTATTAATTGTTTTTTTATGCGGTAATTGTATGCAAATGTGGGCTTGTTAACTCTCATAATTAACTGACTAACGGCTCGTGAAACTCTGAGACTTCAATAGTTAGTCGTTTCCTTGAGATAGAAAGGAGAAAACGGTTTTGTATATAGTCGGACAAAATTCAGATAAAGGGTTTTCAGCTCCACTTTGTGTATGTGTATGTTTTGTCTACCATGATATCCGATTTTTAGCGCTAAATAGAAGAAATTAGCCGTTTCTATATAATGGGCTTACTAAACTGTCAAATGGACCTTATGAGGTTGTGAGCTCATTACTAGAACCTGCCTAAACATGGTTAGCATAAACTGAACAAGTTTCCCGCACATTTTATTCATGAGCTAATTATTAAATTTTGCTGCCCTTTTCTGCCCCCAAAAACTGCTAATTCTGCTAGCGCACCATTACTCAGTTAACGAAGTTCAGTTAAAATTAAAGGGCACGTCAGTGTTACTAAATTCTTCTCAACTTACGAGCACAGCTCAGGATCCGACTTGTTCGCAGCGAATGCTTGATGGAAGGTTCTTAAACAGTTGTTTGCATCAGTGTTGTACGAACTCCTGCATGGCGAGCCCACCGACGGCATAGCCGGATTCGATCCTCCTTTTAAACAAAAGGTAGTTTCTTTGAAGTTTTCGTGAACAATGCTCTTGATCCGGCTTTGGGGCAGTATATTTCCAGCACAAATATCAGCCGACTTAATCACGCATGTGGTCAGCTCCCTAAACTTGGCGCTGCCGGGATGTAGAAGGTAAAAATTTCCGTTAAAAATGATACAGAAAAAGTCATTTATTTCTAGAATTGAAGGCCAGCATTCCTTTTACTTTTAGTTGGGTATGGTGACTTACTTTAAACTGGGGTGAGTTATGCGTGTTTTGAGTGTAAAGACTTACTAAAAACAGGATATTTCAAGGTTCTAACTGTTATATACTTTAATGTACCTGCAATCTTCCATTAGGGTCTTTCTGGAGTCCTTTAAAAAAGTCTGTTTGGCATTTAATGGCATCACAGAAATATTCCATAAATGAACATGTACCTACGTCGGGAAGAGCTGCTTCACTTCCAGAAAGGATAACTGAAAGAAGGAAGGCATTGTTTTCTGTTACTACAATATCCACCACGACCAATCAATCAGGGACGGCGGAGCCGGGGGGGGGGGGCTGGGGTTGCTAAGCTCACTTTTCTAGAGGAAAAATTTTGTTAAAGTATAGTTTAAGTATAAGGTACATGCTGTAAGTACTAGAAGTACCTGTAATTTTACATCTTATCCAGGTTGATGTTTTCTAGAGAATTATCTCATTGAGAATGTTAAAATTACCATTTCCAAGCCTCTAGATTTCCAAATTTTCTGAGGGAGGATGCCCCCAGACCCCCTCCCAATAGGAGACGCGAGTTTTCAACCTCCCTTATTTGAAATTGCGCTCCGCCGTCCCTGTCAATCAATCAGTCAATCAACCAATCAATCAGCTGTTTAATAGCACAACCTATCTATGCATCAATCAATCTGTCAAGCATTCATTGAAACATCCGCATTTCACAGCTTTGGCGCCCTTCTTCTGCACTGGTAAATTAGCATCTGTTCTAGGGGTGATCGATTTACAAGATGAGATTCACACCTCTGAAACTAACGAATACTGCATTTCTTTTTCTTTTCGATGATCAGTAACAAATGCATCTTGACAAATGCTGTTCTGCGAAATTTATCGTGATTATCATGCATAATGTTGTGAAGTATTTTGTAGGTTATTTTTAGTTTATTTCATGTTTGCGCTTGACGTTTCACTCGTGGCTAGTGTTTTGCTGTGATCAGTTTGTAGATCAAGGTTAATCTGTATTTGTATCGACAGGTTTTCAAATTCCATTACCTTTGAAATAGTTTTTTTTTACCATGAACGTCCGTCATTTATTAAAATTGAGTGTCAGTCCTTCAAGTAGGCGCGGTTTGGGACCATCGCTGACCTTGATTGTTACCTACATATCGGAGTTGCTGTTTTGGTTTAAAGTAGAGTCTCATTGGTTTAGCTGTCGCGCTTACATTGGTTCTTACATTATTAACCTTATAGGTTTGTTTATTCCACTTTATTTATCAACAGGAAATTGGTTTATTAACAAGTCATTCGAAATGACAGTTTTATTTGTAACTCTCATAGTCAGCAAGCCCGAAAGTACTGACCTACATTCAGGTTATTTAAGTTGCCAACACTTAATTTGGCGCAGATAATTGATCGATTGTTGGTTGTAGGGTGTACTGTTTGTAGTTGAGCTGTATTCGTTAAGTGACGTTGTAGACAAAACGTATGAGTTGCTGTGAAGAATAGAGGGGTCAATAAAGAACACCAAGATGTAAAGTCAGATACCTGGTACCCGTACGCTAAGCGCTGAGCGAGTTGCTCGTAAACCACTCGGCAAGGTTTTATGGTAGCCTGAGTGCGTACAGCCACCCCTCCGCTATAAAAACAAACAATCAAACAATCAAACAATCCCGGGTCAGTGGTACTATAGCGTTAAAACGCTGAGACAAGACACTGATTTGCATGCCTTTTTTAATAGTGGCACTGGGTTGCTAGATGGAAAAAAGTTTTCCCTTGCAAACATGTAGGAATATTGGGACACGCAGTGCTCACCAGTGAGCAATGAGCTACTGAACACGCAGTGTACATGTTCTAAACAGGTAATAATCTGCGAATGCTAGGGGAAGCGAAAGGTTCCATATTTCCTGAGGGAATTCAACGCGGCATATAAGTGCCTTTATAGAAATGTTTCAAGCTCTTATATCTCTCACACTTTCGTTTCAGTCATTTCGGCGCGCCTAGGCATAAAAGCTAGCAATCGAGTTCAAGGTAGCAGCGAGTGGTGAAAACAAGTGGACTTACCAAGCACGAAAAAGAAGGCTTTTAACATGCATTTCTAGTAAGCTTCTCTGATGATTTTTTTGTGGCTTTTTCCTGACCTGTCCCAGGAACCGATTTGAGAGCAACTTAAGCAACCAGTGAAGATAAAATGATGCAAGATGTGGCGGTAAACTTCTGTTATATCTGTCCTCTGAGTGTGGCGCGCGGAACAATCCAGTTTGAATTTTGATTGGACGAATTACTAAATTGGGCCAATTTCTATTTTTAAACCACGCTCGTTTCCCGAACTTTTCTTTTCGTTATTTGGTCGCGTGGTTATGGAAAACAAGAGGTTTTCATCGCTCGTTATATAAAAGCCGAGGGGCTCTGGGTTCGAGAATCTCTCAAAGCGTGACCGTCGAGGTTCTATTCAGCTAATAATTCTTTTCATTACAAAGATTTAAATTGTCTAAGAGGCGGCTTCCAACACTCTATATATACAGATGGCGTTGTCCATGGCATATTTCAATTTTGAAGTTTCACTCGTGGCATTTATGCCAAAAATCACGTACAAATCATGCTATTATTTGTTCATACTACTACCCACAAAACGTGTGTAATTTTTACATGTAGGTATTTCAAATTAAGCTAAAATACCACTGCTCCAAGCCAGTTAAACTACAGAAATTTCTCACGTATTAGTATAAACCGGGAAATAAACGCTCCCGCTGCTGGCTGTAAAATAACGTACTTTAAATGCTTCATGCTCAGGCACAGCTTTACGCATAGAGGGGTATTTGAACTTCTCCTTGATTTTGACCATAGCCATTTTAGTGACTAACAGGAGTTATGCCAAGATGTGTTGATATTACTTGCAAACCCAAGAAACTCATTGGAATAATATTAAAACCCTGAATATATGGTTCAGTTTTATTCAAAATTACCATACTACTTCATCTCAACTGTAAGCGTGTGTCCGTGGCCGGGAACGAAACAGATTTAAACTTTGTTCTCTCTTTGGTAGAAACATATGATAGCGTTTGTTAGAGTTCCGAGCATGACAAAAGATGACTGAGAATACTTGGTTATATTTCTAGCCCCGCTTAACTTTGACCAAAAAAAGCGCGCTCATCATGACTCAGCCGTGTTAGCTTGTTTCCGCATCCCGCGGCTTCAGTGTCCTCCTATGATCTTTCGATCTGCACATAGTTAATAGAGGGAATGGCTATGAAACCCGACAAAGTTCTTTGTTGTATGTTTTTGTTCTCTTTTTTGGCCTTGACCCTGCACAAAACACAATAGTTGTTTACTCCGTACTGAGGAACTAACCAATAGAAACGTGCTGGTTACGTAATTCATGCATAACGTATGAACGCAAAACAAAAGATTGTGCAGGGTCGTGCTAACATAAATCTTGGCATCTTTGTTTGCTCCTTTGATGTTTGCCGGGCTTCATAACCAGTCACCTCCATTAACTATGATCTGCACTAGTGCATTCGCATCCGCATCCAGGTGTGATCGATTTAAGAGTTGAAATTCACACATCTGAAATTAACGATTACTTATTTTTTATATTCGGCCAGGTAACCGATTATACCCACTAATACACAACAGAGTGGTACCTATATCTACCAGTGTGTGTCTAAGATCAGGGAGTTCTAGCATGCAGGCCCATGGCCACAAGGACTGAACGTTTCTCAAATTTTGTTAGTGTTAACTTAATATTAATCTTGTCAATAAATGTAGTATATATAAATCTAAGTATAAATCTTAGTTTATATATCACAGCTTTTAAGGTATCCTACAATTCAGCCTTCCGACCTGCAAAAGGGACAATAAACCAGTGATTTGATTTGATCATGCATTAACTTACAACGATTTTCGGCCATGTCGTGCAATACGTAAAGAATACTCAACACTGGCTTGTTTATTCCAACAATCCCCGGTCTGTGGTACTATAGCGTTAAAACACTGAGAAAAACAAGCTGATTTGCATGCCTTTTTAGTGGCACTGGGTTGCCAGATGGAGGAATTTTTCGCTGGCAAGCATGTAGGAATATTGGGCCACGCAATGCCCACAAGCGAGCAATGAGCTACTGCACACAGTGTGCTATAAACAGGCAATCTGTAATGAAATAACTCGGATAGTCAGGGAAAGCAGAAGGTTTCATACTTCATAAGTGAATGCAGTGCGCAAGGCTTTCTATTATCATTCACATCTTCATTTCCACGTGTTTGAGCATGAAGCTCGCACTCAAGCTGGGCGCCCATGGCAAAAAAAAGCAAGTGGTAAATACAGTTTGTCTTACCAAGCACGAAAAGAAGGCTTTTAAGATACATTTCTTATCTTCTCTGATGAATTTGCTGTGGGGTTTTCCTGACCTGTCCCTGCGACTGATTTGAAAGCAACTTGTGCAACCAAAAGATAAAATGATGCAAGGTGTGGCGTAAAACTACTGATTACTTGTCATGCGAAATAAAAAACTTTGAAATGATTGGGCGACTCACAATATTGGGCCGACATGGCTGACTTCTCTTTTTAAACCGCACTCCTTCCCATGCAGCACGTATCGTTTTTTTTTGGCCGCGTGGTTGGAAAAGAAAAGGTTAATTACTCGCTCGTTAAAAAAGCTGAGGGGCTGTGGGGACGAAAATCTCTGAAGGCGTGACCTAGATGATATTCAGCTAACAATTCTTTTCATTAGAAAAATTTAAATTGTCTAAGAAACTGCTTCCAACACTCTATACAGATATTACTTGCAAACCCAAGAGACACATTGGAATACAATAAAAACCCTGAATATATGGCCGGTTCAGTTTTATTCAAAATTACGCTAAAACTTCACCTTAACAGTAACCGTATTGTCTGTGGCCCGCGGGATGGAAACAGATTTAAACTTTGTTCTCCCTTTGGTAGAAACAAATGATTGCGTTTGTTTTAGAGTTCCGAGCATGACAAAAGATGACTGAGAATACTTGTTTATATTTCTAGCCCCGCTGAACTTTGACCAAAAAAGTGGGCTTATCACGAGTTAGCCCTTTCAACTTATTTCTGCATTCTGCGGTTTCAGCGCCCTGCTATGATCTTTCGATCTGCACTAGTGCATTCGCATCCGCATCCAGGTGTGATCGATTTAAGAGTTGAAATTCACACATCTGAAATTAACGAATACTTATTTTTTTTCTTTGATGATCAGTAACAGCCAAAAAGAGTAAAAGTATCTTGACAAATGCTGTTCTGCGAAATTTACCGTGATTATCGACGTGCAAAAAGGGGCCTTTCGCTCATTTGGCCTGATATTAATTTTCGTATGAAACAACACTTGGCAAAGCTGCACTATCCACTCTTTCTAACCGTCGGGCAGTCTCGTGTATTAAATTTATAGTTAAGGTTCGGCCGGGTAACCGATTATACCCACTAATACACAACAGCGTGGTACCTATATCTACCAGTGTGTGTCTAAGATCAGAGAGTTCTAGCACGCAGGCCCATGGCCACAAGGACTGAACGTTTCTCAAATTTTGTTAGTGTTAAATATTAATCTTGTCAATAAATGTAGGGTCTTAGTATATATATCACAGCTTTTAAGGTATCCTACAATTCAGCCTTCCGACCTGCAAAAGGGACAATAAACCAGTGATTTGATTTGATTTGATTTGATCATGTTTTAACTTACAACAATTTTCGGCCATTTCGTGCAATACGTAAAGAATACTCAACACTGGCTTGTTTCTTCCAACAATCCCCGGTCTGTGGTACTATAGCGTTAAAACACTGAGAAAAAAAGCTGATTTGCACGCCTTTTTAGTGGCTGGGTTGCTAGATGGAAACATTTTTCGCTGGCAAGGATGTAGGAATATTGGGCCACGCAATGCTTACAAGCGAGCAATGAGCTACTGCACACAGTGTGCTATAAACAAGCAATCTGTAATGAAACAGCTCGAATCGTCAGGGAAAGTAGAAGGTTTCATACTTCAGAGTTATTAATGCAATGCGCACGGCTTCCTATTATCATTCACACCTTCATTTCAGTGTGTTTGAGCACGAAGCTCGCACTCAAGCCGGGCGCCCATAGCGAAAAAAAAGCAAGTGGTATTAAAATACAGTTTGACTTACCAAGCACGAAAAGAAGGCTTTTAAGATGCATTTCTTATCTTCTCTGATGAATTTGCTGTGGGGTTTTCCTGACCTGTCGCTGCGACCGATTTGAAAGCAGCAACTTGTGACACCAAGAGATAAAATGATGCAAGGTGTGGCGTAAATTACTAAACTTAGCTTGCGAACAATAAACTTTGAAGTGATTGGGCGACTCACAACACTTGTCTTTCAAATTTGGCCGCGTGGTTATCGAAAAGAAAAGGTTTCTCGCTAGTTAAAAATGTTGGGAGGCTCGGGGAACGAAAATTTCTCAAAGCGTGACTTAGGTTTTATTCAGCTTAGAATTCTTTTCATTAGAAAGATTTGCATTGTCTAAGAAACTGCTTTTAGCACTCTATATTGGCGATGTTCATGGTATGGCCCGTGCAAAGATGCTGTAACGATACCCGTTACATGCTTCCAAATTAAACAGTGCGCTTCAGCGTCATGCATGAGGAGCCGCGTAAAGTCCCTTTACTAATTATCTTGAGTGACGGTTGCTATGCTCAATTTCCTGTTAGAATTTTACCTCCGATCTCGTGCATGTTAGCAGGGGTCACATTAGGTGTCATCGGTAGTGAGCTTCACAGAGGCGATGAAACAATTCTAAATTTCGCAACTGTCTGTTAATATGGTTAAAACAATACTAGGCGGGGTAAATACATGTAAATAAAGTCGAGCGCGGTCTTTTCAACTATTCTCCGGATCGGATCAGCCCGATCAAGCCATCATTGTATGGAGTATATGTGAGTTACTTTTTTGCCGTTTCCTGGTCTAGAATTTCTGGGTTGATTCGAGATCAAAATCGTTTCCCTTAGAAGCGATTGGTATTTGGAAGAACATTTAAACAGATCGGACAGGTTAGGAGGATTCAAGCTTCTCTTCTGATAACCGGAGATGGCCAGCCTTCCTTCTTCACATTGGTTCAAATGCGAGGCCAATTCAGCCTTAGATCAGTGGGTTTACCTTACGACACATTAATTCTGGTTTGTATAATGACTTGATTAATCGTAAGACTCCTGGAAGGTAAGCACAGTGTTCGATTTTTTTCCTTTAATTAATTTATTTCTGCTTCGAACATATCGGCGCCAAAACCTCCTAAATGCCCGCCAAATTTAATGTGGCGCTCCTGATCGTACATCTCTTGTTTAGGAAAAAAACAGGCCGAGCACAACTTCCACTGGAGGCAATTTTGTGTTACAAAAAGTACCCTAATAAAGACGTCGAAAAGCTCTATTAATTTCGTGCGACATTTTCTTGCTAAACAAAGGAATGTGTTGAAAATTATAGACGTCCCTGTTTTATAATACACATACACAAGTAGCGGCCAAATTGCTATATCTTTGATCTTTTTTCAACTGTTTTGCTTGTTGCCGATGTTCATTAAGATCCAGTGCGATTTATAGTTGTCACTTCATGCTCAGATCTTTGTTTCAATCAATGAGAAAATTATCTTACAGTTAAAACACTCTTTGCACAACAATAAAGGCAGTAATTATCGCGTAACATTGCGTTGTTCCATGCGTTCTCAACACAGCCGGACGGAGCTCTGCCTATGAAAATAATCATTTTCCTAGTATCGAATAGGCGAAAATGACTCCCACTGGTAGCAAATTGTTCTACAAAGCCATAAATAAGGGATATTCCGAGTATAAACCTCATAAAAGCTTTTTATTTTGATCAAAAATGAAATGAAACGCGTTAAAAATATCAGACGCTCGTGTTACCCATACCCCTACCGATCTACCTAAGGCACTTCAATGAGAGGGGGTTGAGTTGCTCGTTACTTGTAAAGCCCTAAATAAATCTAAGTAGCTTTCTTTTTTTTTTTTAAATTTTTACGCAGGAATCGAAATGAGTTTTGGTTGATTGGTTGTGTCCACCGCGGTTCACCCCTGGAACAGGCTAAATTACAGGATATGTTGATACTGTTTTGGATATTACAAACAATGTATAAAATCTTTATAAGAGAAATCAGTATATACGTAGTTGTCAAATCTTAAAACTATGGGCATAAATGTAGAAATAAACTACATTTACCTGAACTTGTGTTAATTGTTGTTTTTTCTGTGTAACCTGGGATCATTTCTTGACCACTTGCGGGGTTTTGCGGCACGTTGTTAGTTCGTTCTTGTTTTTCTACATTTAGTGAGGCGAGGCAGGTTACTATGTCCAACCTCGACTCTCAAATCGCTCTCGCATCACAAAGCATCGCCCAAATTCGCCATAAAACTAAAGGACCAATCGACTACTCTTCTTTAATCCCTCCATATCATGAAGAAGGGAGTTTAAGATACCACGACGGCGACGACGGGGAAAATATCTCTTGCAAGGTGAAACTCGCAGTTTTTCAATCTCTATTGCAATTATTCCAACTCACCTCCTTTGTCTTATGCAAGCGAACTCTTCTGGAGTTGAATTCCTTGGAACCATATCCAAGTTGAAAGTAAGAGAAAGAGAGAAGTTTCGTCACCATTCGTTCACGTTTACCCAAAATGTGGAACTTTTTTTTAGGCTTGGTAATTTCACGTCGTAGTCGTACAGTGACGGCAAAGAAATGTGCAAAAAAATGTGCTGCACGTGCAGAGTTGTTGTTTTACATAAAATTCAGTTATAGGCCCTTTACAGCGTGCCATTCACGTGGTACAAAACCGCCATGCTGGGACGCAAAAGTCGCACTGGGACAATACCAACCAAAGGCATACATAATTTTTGTTTGTCCCAGTGCGACGTTTGCGTCCCAGCATGGCGATTTTGTATCAGGAGAATGGCAAGCTGCAAAGGGCCTATTGCCCATGAGACGTTCCTGTTGACATCGACGTTGTAGTCAGTTACGTCACTGCGGCCATATTAGTTGACAATAATAAAGTGTTTCAATCCAATTGGATCTAAACTCTTTTATCTTGCGAATTCTTGTAAACCAACATAGCCTCCTTGTCACGTTGTTGCAAACAAAGGTTACGCTTTCTTTGCCTCTCAAATTTTCACAGTGACTGTTTCCAAATCCTTTTAATTTGGGAATATGCAGTCCTCCCGGGAGTCCTCCCAGGAGCATTTGCGATATGATTTATGCAAAATTTGTAGGCCAAAAAGAGTATATTATGAGGGATTCGAAAATAAAGAATCCAAAAGTTTTAGCACTAGCCGTTCTCCACAATCGTCGTTAGAATCGGTTAAGATCGTCCTGGACCTATAAAGGTGACGTTACATGAGACGATTCGCAACGACGATTTTTAGCCAATAGAACTTTGTCACGCGGCGGCCATTTTGTTCCAAGATAGTAAGTAATGATCCGGGTAAGGTGGATAGCAATTTCTTTTGTTATGCGGCAACGGTGCTTTCCCCACATAGGAATGTTCTCATTTTTGCACAGAGAATGCATAAACCTACATGAAGGCCGTTTACGCAATAAAATGCATGCATTTAGACTCCACTTTGAAAGGGTGTTTTTTGGTGTTGAAAGATTTTGTCCAATCACAAGAGTTGAAAACAATAGCCAAGAAAAGTTTACAATTTTACATGTTCCCCACATAGAATTTCTTTGTTATTCAAACTGAGACCAGATTTTGTTATATGGAAGATGGTTGGAAAGTAAGGATGAATTATGTACCGCTTTATGAAGTTTTGTTAACTTTTGCTGTTTAAGCCAATCAGAAGTAAGTACAGACAATAGAAAAGTTAGCACCTTTTTTGCATTCCAACATGTTCGTTGCCGTTGTTGCTGTCGTTCTTATCTGGACCGTTTCTTAAAAGAGCTTTGTATTTGCACGGCTAGCCTCATTTTTACTGCAAGGCCAACCGTGCCAAAAAGAAGCTTTTTTAATCTCCTGAGACAAAATGGCCGCTGCGTGACAAAGGTCTATGACTTTGTTATAAGTGACTTACTCACAGAGCAGCCATAAAAATACCGGCTTAAAAGCAGAAAATTGTAAGGGAACTGGCGCTCTCTAACGGTGGCAAAACACAGTGATGAACGAAGGGGAAACACACCCCCGGTCTTTAATGTTTCACGGTGGACCCCTATGAAAAACCCTGAGGGTCAGCTGAGCCTGTTAGCCTTGATAAAGAAGCGATGTGATCATAACTAAGCACTCTAACGCTTTAATTTGGTGAATGCTCACAGCTAGCCTAAATTATTTTATTTAATGAATATTACACATTTATTTACTACCTTAACGTCAACTTCGTTTTTATCTCCTTTGCATCTAAGTTTCAAGGAAATGATGACTTGCAACACAGTAGTAGTTATCAAATAGTCAGTTTCAGTTTCAGCTTTATTGTTTGGCATTCTTACTTCGTTGGTAACTGCCATTGATTACCATTATAACCCTTGAAAAAAGATATATATGCAAGATATATATGCACTTCAATTTTTTCACTGTCTTCTATCTGAAAAAGTGTTCTACTGTTCGTTTTTCGCTAATAGGAAACGTTTGATTAGACTGAGGGAATCCTTAGCAACCACAACGATAAGGCAGAAAAAAAAAAAAGACGAAACGTGGAAAAGAAAAGAAGCTACTGATACTGTCTGAGGCACTGCCCTGATTGCTCAACTACGGCATTGAAATTTACATAATACGAAAGATCCACAAAAATATAACCTTAAAAAATTCCTCTACATTAAGAAATAGAAATAAGTTGGCATTAATCTTGAAGAAATAAAGAGTGTATTCTCTTTAATGTTCTCGTTGCCGCCGTCGTCCTGGTTGTCAAAGGTTCCCATGAACCATTTAAATTATACTTTAGCTCAAGAGTAACATCAACAAAGGAAAAATTAGTAGAACCTGAAAAATACCATTTTTCACTTTAGGGGCTGCTGAAGTGACTGGGGAAATGGTGGACGTAAGGAACTGAGAAATAGTGAAAGTGGGGGAAAAGATGGAAGTATGAAAAATGGGGGGAGTGGTAGATTTGGTAGAATGAAAGGAATGAAGAGGATTGTTGAGTTTCTTCACACCATAACATTGGTCATTTCCTGTTGCTTCAGGATCTCGATTATTTTTGCAGAAAGGATTGTAGTCATTGTAGCTCAAATCTATTAATTCCTGGGTAGAAGATGAAAATGTACAAGCCGACCGTGACAGGTCCTTTAGGCACTTCTTTGCCTTGGCATTTTCCCTGTCGAAATGAAAAGAGACAAACTATGTCAGGATTTTTTGATGGTAGAAGGCGGACTGAAGTGGCGAAGAGGAGACAAGGGTTGGTAGGGTGGGGGGGGAGAAAATTGGGGAGGAAGGAGGATTCAATCCACTTTGTCAACAACAACAATAAGCTTTATTTGCACGACTATAACAGACTATTACAGTATTGCAAAAGCTACACGAAATTAATCATTGATTCCTTTAAATTTAGATATTTAAAAAAATTGAAAGATATTAATCATTGCTCATTTTTAGCCATCAGTAGGATCAGTTCCTCAATTTCGTCTTACCCTTCCTTCCGGCAAATATGTCGTCGCAAAATTTTGAAATCAGAATAGTAAATCTGAGGCAAAGATGGTAAAAGCCACATTTGCCTAGTTATTTAAAACCCCCTTGTTTTCTGGTAATATTATTATGCAAAATGTGTCATTTACCATCTTTGCCTTTATTTGCAAGGAGCAAATTTGTGCAAATCCATTTTCTCGTCCAGTGACTTTCCCCTATCGATCTACTGCAAATTGAAACTGGTGAGATTCGACAAGCTCGCCGTCCCTGAAATTCCGAAGGAAAAGGCCGGGGAACATGCATTACTGGGTGGTGGAATGAGAGGACACTAGCTGAAGGTCGGGAAAAAAAGGATAATATTTATGACTTTAAGCATGGCGAACCTCTAAGCTATTTGCAAGCGCACCACTGATTGACTCCACACCCTAAAGAGTCATAGTTAATATGGGAGTTAAGTATAGTGAACTGTTCTTGGCACGTAGCTAACTAGGAAGACTTTAAATTATTTGTTTAATGATTCAACTTACGAGCAAAGATCTGGATCCGACTTGTCTGCAGCGAATTTATGATGGAAGGTTCTCAAACAATTGGCTGCATCAGTGGTATACGAGCTGCTACATGGTGACCCCACCGAAGGCATAGCTGGAACCGCCCATCCACCTTTTAAACACATGACATTTTCTTTGAAATGCTTGCGTATAATGCTTTCGATGCGACTTTGAGATAAAACATGTCCAGCACAAATATGCACAGTCCTTTTCACACAACCAATCAATCTCTCGAATTTGGCACTAAGGACGAAAACAGGAAAATTCATGCATCTTGTCCAGAATTAATGGGAGACATTTACATGTTATGAGCGCCTGCTCTGCATTCCTTAATCCGTTTGTACTTGTCGTCTACTTTGAATTGGACCGATATCCCATACCATCCCATCCCACGAATGCCTTTAAACACAACTGGAACCTCAAAACCTCCTATTACAGAGATCAGTCTCTGTATAACTGAAACACAACGTAAACTCACTTAACTTAACTGTAGTAACATGTACGTCATGTGCGTAGGAAAGCACCGAAGACGTTGAAAAACAATTGGGCAAACAAATGAAAAACAGTTGTTTAGGTATCTTCGCTTAAAAGACGGATCCCGATCTCTTACAATAAAGTAGACTGCTTCCAGTTGGTTTCTCTCTCGAATTTCGCCCGTGAAATGTCATCCCACTTGCTCAAAAAGCTCAGAAAGAAAAAAAAATTGCCGTGCAGACAGGAATTAGGGCATGTTATGGAACGTATTGAGGAGATAGGTTTCAGAAAAGCTGGACTGCAAGAGGTGTACATGCGCAGTGGAACAGTGGAATCTCTCGCACACTTGGGTACGCACACTTGGGTAGGTGGACAATTCCTTTAACCAATGGTCACCAACATCAATTTTCTCCTAACATTATCCATATGTTGCCAAGAGAAATGGTTATGAGAGTTGATAAAATGATCAATAAAGAGAAAATGCTCTGATCTCTTATCAAACTCTCTCAACTAATTCTTTAAGGAAGTGTATGAAGATCAGAATGGAGAATTTATATGTGGATATTGGGACTAAGGGTTACAAACTCTGTATTTTCACATTCCCGGAAGCTGCCAGTGGCTCCAGTTACGGACATCTTTTTTACGTCACGAACAATTGTTCTGTACCTGCAATCTCCATTAGGGTCTTTCTGGAGTGTTTTAAAAAAGTCCGTTTGGCATTTCATGGCATCACAGAAATATTCCATAAATGTACATTTACCAATGTCAGGAAGAGCTGTTGTACTTCCAGATAGGATGGCTAAGAGAAAACCGAGAGGGATTATTGCAATAAGGAGTAAATGATATTCAAACACAAAAAATAAAATAGATAAATGGATTAATCATTCAATGAAAGTTAAGATTGAGTATAATTTGGCTTTTGTAGCTGGTTAACATGGCGAATTGCCGCTTTTCCTAGCAGCACACTGTTGTGTATTGTGTCAGTTTACCACAATAATAAGCGAAGCGTCTAACAAAATAACCTAACGCTGACCCCATATCTTTCCTTTTAAGCTGTCTTAAGAAAACGGGAAGCGAGGAACAAGGAAGGAGGAACGCGGAACGTGGAACGAGAGACTATCACGGGAAAAGGGAGAGTGCAACAACTGAACAAAACAGAGAATGTGTAAGAGGATAGGCTTTGTACCCATTCTTCATTTTCCAGTCCTCAAGCCGGTTTCCCATTCCCCGTTTCTCATTTAAGTAACATCTCCTTTTAAGTCCCTTTCGTTTCATTAAGGAGTGAAAACTTCATGTTTCAATTATTGCTCATCTTAAAAAACTGAAACTCAGATGACAGTCTCAGCCCTCGAATGTTTAAAAAGCATTTCGATATTTTGATAGAAATTGCATCTTTATAGCCCGCTCAAAGAAACCACTGAAAAGGGATAAGCAGTCGTAAACGGTATACAGCCAATCAAAATAGAGAATCTTTTAATAGGTTTGCGCCCTTTTCTTGCAGGTTGGTGAAATAAATCAATAAATCAAATCGTAGCTGACAAACAGAAAACAACGAAAAATTTTGTAAAATTCTAAATCTCTGTAGGGGGCTTGTTCACTGTCGCCTTTCGTTTGATGCCAAACGTGGTTTTTGGCTTTATCTTATACATTGTAAGAAATTCCGCGCATTATGACTGATGTGATAGTTGAGACTCAAGTATGCCTATTGTCGGGCGCAGTTGTTTTTTGACGAATTAGAGTGAAATGCTGTGGGTTCGGTTTTTGTAAAAAGGCAAAAGTCTTGAAATTAATGAAACCGAAGTTGACGACTTACCAAACAAGAGAAGAATGCTTTTGAGGTACATTTCGCCTCTAAGATGACTTCAGTGTGGTGACTTGTTAACAGTTGATCTGTAGTGAGACTGATTTGAACTTGAACGGCCAACTCGCATTTAAAAGTACAAAAAGACACAATGATGCATAAAAATCTTGATGTAAAACTACTGTAATCTGGTCGGTGTACTTGGTATGCGGAATACTTGATCCTGTCGGAATTGAGATTGGGGCCATTTCTCTTAAACCTTCCTTGTTCTTTTGAATCGAAACATGGGTCCTTCGTTTTCAATACGCTGTTTTTGGAAAGGAAGTGAAGGCATCTTGTATAACAGGAAGACAAAATGACGCGGAGAGACCGAGGGTAAAAATACTTTTAAATATGTTCCCGTGATGTAATTGGTACGTGGAAGACTCCCCCCTTCTCTGCGCTTCACTAGAAATATCACCCCGAGGCATTTATTGTCTTTTTGTCACATTGTCATAAAAAAATGAGGAGTCCTTACTTTGCTAAATTTTCTGACCCACCACTAAAACACTACTTAGTTTCTGTTAGGTTGTTCAGAACATCACCGAGCAAAACGTGCAGTACCAACAAAGGAAAAAAGTGAAGGTGCATTTGGCGAATAAATAAATTTATGTCAAATCATAATGCATTTGGGCATGAAGTTCACGTCCAAGGTTGTTATGAGGTTCGACCGATTAAAAATAAAAATAAATAAATAAATAAAAATGACATGCCAGGCACAAAAAGAATTTTGTGAGGTACACTTCGTAACTTGTCTAAGGACTTTTGTGCAACGTGTTTACATGCACATCTGAAAAAGTGTGAAAGCAACCTGTGTAACAGGAAGACAAAATGATTTAGAGTGTCTATGCGTAAAAAAACTGTAAATAACTTCCCGTGAACATATTTAAGAGGTTCATTTTGTAGCTTGTCTAAGGACTTTAACGGGAAGACAAAATGATGCAACGATATCGAGCGTAAAAATCCTGTAAAATATGTTCCCTTGAACATATTTACTACAGAGAAACATTTCGTGGCTTATCTGACTTTGGTGCGACGAATTTCTATAGTGCAGGCATGTCTCTGAAGAGAGTGCGAACAAAGCAAATTGTGTAACAAGAAGACAGAATGATGCAAAAACGAGCGTTAAAATACTGTTTAGTTTGAATTCCTTGTGCTTGGCACGTGGAACTTACCCTATCGGAAATGGCGCTGTAGCCATTTTTCTTAGGCCGTTCTTATTCCCAGCCCATGCCGTTTCTTTCGATCACGAAGAAAACAAACAAACAAAAAACAAAACCAAGCTGCAATTTTGTAGCTTTATTTTAATGTCGTTAATTTTCCTGACGATTTTAGAGTAAATTTTTGACTTTTATTAAACAAATGTCTGAGGATGTCAAGAAGGAGTTGATTTCTAAGCTTTAGCTAGCTTTTTTATACCTTTCGTTGACGACTTCTAAGTTTTAAGTATACCTTCTTTATTTTATTTACCGCAATTTTAATATCCTAAAGTTTTCTTATACATTTTTGGACCAAAACTTAATAAAAACCATGCCACAGGTAAATAAAGGTACACACTCACATTCATGTTCATTAGCTTCACCTCGGCTTAACATGTCCACGGTCATGTTTAGTTTGTGTTACAGTAAGTTTTTTGGGGTCGGGTGGGGGCGGGGGCGAAGAGCGGTTCTCAAGAAAGCGCGATGATTTCTAACAAAAGTTGTGTCCTTTGAACCCTGCCAGAGGACCCTTTCTTTCTCTTGTTCGATTTTGGCGTTGCTCGAGACTCTGCAGGACTCGAGCGAGATATTTGTTGAGCATGCACTGCCTGTTGATAGGATACAGTTTCGAACTCAGGCTTAATCGTCCAGGGCTTGTTACAGCGGGCTCAGTAGTGACCTTTGGTTAATAAATAATGTCTATACTCGAAAAACCAGTTTGTCGAGAGAAAACAAGATTGACTAGTCTAGAAGCTCCTGCTGTGGCGGTCTCAAACGCTTGACGGCTGATTCAGGCAGAGCCCCTTCTCTTTCTCGATCAAAAAGAAGAGAAAAGGGGATCCTTCTAGGATCATTTTACCTTTCTGTGAAACTGCCCACCTACCCCTCCCCTAAACCAACATTAACACTTAGGTCTTACCGTGGGCAAAATGTTGGCTTAGGGAAGGGGTAGGTGGGCAGCTTCCCAGAGACGTAAAATGAAAAAAACTGTGCTCGCAGCGTGTCCCTTGGTGAAGTTATTTTCATTTCAATTGACTTCATCATTAACTAAAATGACTTACCTACTTCGTTTTTATTGGTATTTTTGTTGCCCTTAACTTTACTTTCTTCCTTTAACTAGATTTACAATGCTCATATTTTCCTTTTTTGACGACTGTTTCATTTACTTGTAAAATCGGATTGCAGCACGTACATTAGAGCCCAACATTCAAACATTGCCTCGCTACTTAAGATCTAAACAAAGAAAAACAGCAAGAGAAAAGGGATCAATAGAGCCTGCAGAACCCCAATTCTCATTCCAGCGGATTCAGGACTGTTGTTCAGGGGATTGTTGAGGTCCTTCACTTCATCGCATTGGTCTTTTCCGGTCGCCCCAGGATCACGATTGTTGTCGCAGAAAGGATTGTAATCACTGAATCCCAACTGTAAATCTAGCGCTGGCTTGGTTTTAGGATCAAAGGTACAGGCAGTTTCTGTGACATTCTTCAGACACTTCTTTGCGTCTGCATTTTCACTGGAGAACAAAGACAAAAGATAATTGCTGGGGTTGCAATGACGGATCTTTCGAAGGTTGGGAAGGGGAGGCAATTTGCTCCTTACGTGAGATATACCTTCCTTTAACCCTTTCACTGCCAAATATGACCAAGGGCAAAATTCAACAAAAATTTCAAATTTCATTTCGTAAAATTTTGAACAACAAATAGCACCATGTAAAAGCAAAGGCAGAAATGTTTCATTGGAATGGTCACTCCATAGGAGTTTGTCCACAGACTCAAAAGTGACAATCTCTCCGGAGAGTCAACTTTAACGAGCGCTTATATGGGAAAAAATTTGACCTCCTTTGCCCAAGCCTACAGCGCTTTCGGATACTCTGATTAGGGACTCTAAGATCCAAAGACGCGACGGCAACGAGAACGTCGCTTAAAAACGGAATTTGCGTTCTTTCAGTCTTTATCGTAATTTTTCCTACCCACTTAGTTTGTCAAATGTAGGCGAACCCTCCTGGAGTTGAATTCCTAGGGACCATATCCAGGTACAGAAAGAGAAACAAAATTTCGTCGTTGCTTGTTTAGGTACTCCATAAAACGCGAAATTAGGCATTTTCACGTTGTAGTCGTGCAAAAACGGGCAAAGGAATGTGCAAACAAGTGTAATGCACGTGCAAAGTTGTTGTTTTGCTTATTAAACCTATTGTTTTTTTGACGTTCTTGTTGCCGTCCGCGTCGTTGGATCTTATGTAAAGTCCCTATTGTCTCACCTTGACCAAGTTGACCCGGTTGGGACAGGCAAAGTGTTTATGCGGCGTAAAGTTGGCCTGGCTAGGAGGGTGACCCTACGATCGAAAAAAGGTGACCATAACACGCCTAGCCGAGCTAACTTGTTTCTCGTGTAAACGGTTCGCCAAGTTTTCTAAGGAAATGTATGAACAGTTAGCTCGCTCAGAGTAGCTCGTGTAGGCGAGTGACCCCTCCACCCATGACAAGTTTTCTCATTAATTACAAATGGGGCCGGCGTTGAAGATCAGAGTGTTTATAGTAAGCTGTATAATACAGTCAAACCCCTTTCATAAGGATACGGAAGTAGGCATAGAAAGTGTCCGTATTGACAGGGTACCCGGCCGTATTAAGCGGGTTGAATTTAGAAAAAATGTGGGGGCTTTTTTTCCCCAGGGACAAAGAAAACTGTCCGTATTAAGCGGATATCCGTAAAGCGGGGTTGGACTGTATTCGTTCAATGTTTCGACTTACGAGCACAGTTCGGGATCCGACTTGTCTGCGTCGAATTTTTGATGGAAATTCCTCGAACAGTTGTTTGCAGCAGGGATGAACGAGCTGTTACATAGGTAGTCCAGCGATAGCAAAGATGGAATCTCCCTCCCGCCTTTCAAACACGTGGTATTTTCTTTGAAGTTTCCGTGAACAAGATTTTCGATCCAACTTTCTGGTAGTACATTTCCAACACAAATTTCAACCGTCTTAATAACGCAATTGATCAGTTTCTTGAACTTGGCGCTGTGGATGCAGAATGGAAAAATGACCATTAGAAATGATAATGAAAAGAAACAAAACTTTTGTCGAGAATTGAGGCTAGCGTGGTTTATTTGCATTTTTGATACGATTAATTTGCTTTTCGGTGGTGGGATGTTTTTAATTTATGAAGGTTAGAATAACTCAGTCTGAGTGCTGAAGAAGTTGTTCTTGCTTTGGACACTTTTTGTTTTAATTAATATCCAATTATAGCTAATTATACAGGTAGCCAAAATTCCCAGTTCCGGTCTGCGACGTGCCTTCAAACACACAGAACAGGATCCTCGACACTACCTCAGGAAACTTAACACTCTATATTAAGCTCCTTATTGCTGATTTGCACGTGACGTCACGGCGGACATGTTAGTGGTCAAGAACAAATTTCTCTATTGTATTGAGCCAACATGGCCGCCTTGTCACGTGGTTGCAAACCAAGAATTGTTGTGATACAGAAATTTTGCTATGATGTTACCTGACGCCACACTTCTCCACTCCATTATGTAGCAAAATACAGCATGTTTGAATTTATAGTGAATGATAAGGGAAAGTCGTTGGTATTAATTTTTATTAAGTAATTCAAGGATCTGCACTGAAAAAGTAAGAGACTTAAAATCACTTCCTTTTCTCTCTTGAATTTTCGAAACAATCTTGCTTAATAGCATGAGGATGTTTTTTTCTCTCTCTGAACGGGCTCGCTGAGATAAATATCTCGGGGGTTAGTGTTACTGCGAAGAAGTACGGCGGGATTTCAAGCCGCTGTAAGCCAAAGTTACGAACTGTACTGTACCTGCAATCTCCATTAGGGTCTTTCTGGAGTCCTTTAAAAAAGTCTGTTTGACATTTATTGGCATCACAATGATATTCCATATACGTACAATCGCCAATTTTAGGAAGCTCATCATCTTTAGCCTGACTTCCAGAAAGGATAGCTTAAAGAAACCGTTATGAATGTAAAATTAGTAGTTGTTACAAGAACAACAAATTCGTAAATCATGATCAAGATGGCGTTAAAAGTCATTGCCAATTGAATAGGAGTCGAGTCGAATCATGTAAGGGAATCCAAGACAGTCTTGGATTCGGAATTCCACCGTGTATTCCCGATTCCAGGTGCTAGATTCCGGATTCCAATCATTAACAGGATTCTGGATTCTTTGAGCTGGATTTCTGATTTCAAAGCCCGGGATTCCGAATTCCAAAAGCAAAATTCTCGGATTCCGGAATCTGAATTACCTTACACGGGGCGAATCAAGGATCGGCACAATTGGTTACTGGGATGATATGCTCCTGGTTACTGCCATGCCTTCCGGGCGAGAAGTCCCGAGTTCGATTCCCACGTGTGATCTCAAATCCCTAGTAAATTCCGACTTCTTTCCTGTCCGTGCAGTTTTAAGTAGCTGTAATTAAATACCCGCAAAACGTAGCACGGTTGGAAAATGGGAGGTAAAATTCGAACTGTGTTTAAAGACGCTTAACAATTTACCTTAATATTAAATGGAAGATTATTTCCCTATTCCGGATCTTGATGAGCAATATTATACACTTAATGTCAGATCCCGAGGGATCTCGAGATCCTCGAGTCCTGATGTTTCCCTCGACTTCGTCTCGGGAAACATCAGGACTCTTGGGAAAACAAAACAAACTGGTTTCCCGAGGGACCTGACATTAAGTGTTTTGTTATATTCTAGACTTTCACTTCAACGTACTTCAGCAGCAACAAAATAATGTGCTTAAGAGGAGTGAATCAAAACAGTACGACTCGGTACTTATAAGAACACAAATTTAATTCTCAAAACCACTGCATGAATGATTTAAAAAGTACTTTCCTTATATTATCTGCATCTTCCTCCACTAGCTGCTGTTTCTCTTCTGGGATAACTTTGAAAATCGTTGCTTTTTAGCTTGAGGCTTCATGTTTGTGTTATTGTGAATGTTGTTGTGTTCATTCACGTAACAGAAAACTGGCAGTGTTTTTCCCGCCTTCTGTCACGCCACTTTCCACCATGCTCTGATCACATGATGTAATGTATCCCGAGCGGGGTACATTGCTTGATGTATCACGATCGGGATACATTTGATTTTAGTCAAGGCCACGTGACCAAGAATCAGCCAATGGCTGTCCCTGTTTAGTTGAGTGAAAGTCTAGGAATATAACAATAATAAAATATTCAACTTCATACCGCAGATCAATGTCTGAGAATCGTACTTTTGTGAATAAATAACCCCTCTCCCCCTTTTCTTTATTCTATGTCCCTTTCAATACTATTAAGGTGTCGTAACGTTTGATAGTCTATGCAAAAGATCCCTACGATCAAACGATACCCTCACAATACCGCATTGACCTCGCGATTTCCTAGTATTTATCATTTATTGGCTTTGATGGCCTTTCGACACCCAACGCCGTTTCTGCATTCGCCGAGCCTGCCCTCCATACATCTCTGTTATGTGAGTCTTTATTGACACCTTTCGATCAGTGCATGTGAGTCTTTATTGACACCTTTCGATCAGTGCATGTGATCGATTCTCAGCCAAAGAAATATTTTCCGCTTTTTCGTTTTACCTTCGTGATATTTGCTGTTCTGCTAGCTTATTAACAAAATACAGGACATCGACCCTGGGCTATGTCTAGTTGCCGACATTAACTACAGTTCATTCGAAAAAGCTCTTCTGTGGTAGTGAAGGGTTTAAGCAAACTAAATTAAAGCGGAGCTAACTTCGCAAATAGCAGCTTGCATGCCATATGACCATAAATGTCCAAGACGCTTTCACTGCCGTCGGTAAACATCATCTGGAAATATTGGACCACTCTGTAGGCACATTTTCGTACACAGCCAGCAAAGCTTTCGCGCTATTGTGCAGTAAGTTTATCAAATAAGGGCATGCGATAACTCGAATAGTCAGAGGAATCGAGAAGTTTCATGCCTCCCGAGTAAAGAAGAAGCGATCCATGCTTTGCAATACGTGCTAGTATTTTAAGACAAAGGCTGAAATAAATAATTATAAAAATATAGGCCGTGGACTTACCAAGCACGAAAAGAATGCTTTTCAGATACATTTCGTAAATGAACTTAGTCCTGTATTCAGAACAATTTGAAAACAAACAGGAGGACGAAGTGAAGCATAAAAGCTTGACGTAAAACTACTGTTACACAATCCCTTGAACCCCAAGTTGGTATGCAAAACACTTCAAACCGCAGTCTCGCAATCAGAGCGTATCGTTTGATTTGGTCACGGGATCCTGCAAGCTTAGAATATTTTTGCATATCTTGCCCTACGGCTCTATCGTTATATTTCCAAAAAAAAGAAACAAAGAAACTAAGAAAGAAGAACAGAGCACTCAGTCTCGGTCAGCAATTACCGAAACCTTGATTATTCCGGATATCATAACAAACCGCATCTAATAACTGTTTTATAATAAATTCTTTTAAAGAAAGTAACGGCAAAAACACCGTCGCATAGAACACAGTTTAACATTGCTATTGGAAATCACCCATTGCGCGCGCAATGAACAGATTACTCACTAATCTGACGGCAGATAACAGGGGCACCCAACGGCAATTTTCGGGAAAATATCTGTTCGGAAGACGATTTGAGAACTAGAATTTTCGGGACATTTGTTGTAAAATTTCTTGCTTGCTTGCCTCTCCTAGGATTTTCGAACATCTACAAAATGGTATAATTACCCATTTGTAACGGATATTTACCCTAAAAAAGGCCACCTAGAATTTTCGGGAGCCTTTTCCTGGCTGAAATTTTCGAAAAGGTAAGTTTTGATCCCTATAATTTTCGGATCACTAGACTTTCAGCTAGGAAAGCCGAACAGATGAAACGTTTTTAGGGGATAAAAATATGCCTATATCTACCGTTTAAATACTAAAATACGTTCAACAATGCTATGTTAAGTGGTTTTGAACTATATCCTCGTTGGGTGCCCCTGAGATAACTGACTAATTCGTAGGTTGCGCTAATTTCCAATAGGGCGCTTAAGCAACAACGACGGCGACGGCTACAAAAACGTCACTTAAAAAGTGAATTCGCCCTCCTTCAAACTTTATCGCGCTTATTCCATCTCGTTTACTTCGTCAAATGTTGGCAAATGTTTTTGGAGTTGAATGCTAAATAACTCTATCAAAGTTCAGGAAAAGAAAAGAAAGTTGTTGTTTTGTGTTCCCGTCCTCGACAAAACGTGAATTCAGGCACTTTCACGTTGTAGTCGGGCAACGACGGCAAAGAAATGTACAAAAAAGCGTGATGCACGTGCAAAGTTGTTGTTTTGCTTATCTAAACCTATTGCTTTTTTGCCATCCTCGTTGCCGTCCGTGTCGTCGTTCCTTAAGCTCCCTAATGTTAATTGTAGGCTCTTAGCCAATGAGAAGATAGATAGCGAGTACAATGTAATGATAGTGGTTTCTAGGGTTCTCTTTTCCATTGTGTCAGGTGACATTCTAAAAGAACTGAAAGTTTTCTAAAAAATGAGTTTTATTTTTCTACAACAAAAAGCATTGTTTCCAGTAATTTTTAAGACAACTTCTGTTATCTCTGATCTTATCTGGCGCCTTTTTCTGAGGAGCGCTAGCAAGCCTAAGGTTTAGTCACCATCGGTCTGAATTAAATGTGCCGTTTTCAGTATTCGAGGAAGAATGGGTTCGTCGTTACAATCCTACACTGTAACAACCCATCACTGTGTCAACATACCGTATTTTCTCGAATAAGCGCCCGGGCGCTTATTGAAAAATTCGGCTAAAAGGAGGAGAGCTAATTGGAAGGAAGGCGCTTAAGTGAGGAAGGCGCTTAAGTGAGGAAGGCGCTTATTACGTTTTCCGTGTTATAAACTGTAATTTTATTTTAGCCTTAAATCTATTAAAAATAGAAAAACCAAAGCAAACACTACAACATTATGCAGATAAACGTAAAGTCAATATTTAGGGTTGAATGTTTTTCGTTCATTAAAACAGTGGTTGGTAATCAAGCGTTCCGTAATCCCGTTATATTTACTCTAATGATCATTATATATGCATGTTTTTAAAATATCGATTATCTGATCATCTAAAAGATCATCCTCTCGTCAACGAGTGATATGCAGATTGTCGCATTCCCTTGTAAATCTCTACTTTTTAAGAAATTGATGGACCGTGGAGGCAGACGGTTGCTTACTATTCTGGTTTAGGGTGTGCCTGGACGCTTATTCGGGGAAGGGCACTTATTAGAGCGTGGAGGCTTATTCGAGGTATTGTTACTGATGGCATCATCTTTCTTTTGAAAATTTTCCATTTTATTTCTATTGTAACTACCAAGAACTGTTCTGAGAAAAAGGACAACGACAACAACAGCAGCAATAACAATTTATTGTATCCATTTCAAGAAATTAATGTTAATTTACGTGTTATAATCTACTGCTACCGAGAAATTCCACGGTGTCTAGGCATGGATATAGAACAACCCCGTTCAGGTAAACCTTTTTTACTTTATGATTAAAACGCAAGCGATTTATTGGCGTATTTATTTAAAAGCTTCTCTGCCTCACATCCGAGAAAAAAAAAACGGCAACACAGAAGGAATAAGCAAGGCATATGTGACGCCAACTTTCATTTTAGCAGACGCAGGACCGTTGCTATGCAGGGGGTTGTGGAGTTTCTTCACACCATCACACTGGTCTTTTACGGTTGCCCCAGGATCTCGATTGTTTTGGCAGAAAGGATTCCAGTCACCGAGGTCTAGATCTATCACTTCCTGCTGACTAGACGGAAAGTGACAATCCAATGCTGTCAGGTTCTTCATACACCCCTTCGCTTTGGCATATTCCCTGTTGAGATGCAGAGAGGTAATACGTCACTCTAAGGATTGCCAGGGGTAGATCGAGGGGAAGAGGGGGATCCTTGAGTGACCCCCTTTTATTCTTAATTCATCTGCACCGCTATTGCCTCCCCAATATTCAGATCAGTGCAATTTTTCATATGCGACATATCTGGAGAAATGTTTGACCCAAATTTATATGTAGATCAACAATGAGCTTTGTATGGAGACGCCATGTTGGTGTCCATATGAGTGGCATTAACGTCGTGGCCGTAAACCAATAAAACACCTGTCACTTAATTTACTGTGAAATCATGAATTGATCTCTCGAGGAACTCAATAAACATTAGCGTAATTCTTTTTCTGTTACAAGGACTGTTCAGATGCAAAATCCCCCAAAATAAGTCAGTTTTTGAACCTACATATATGGAAGCTCTCTCGGTCACCATGTAAATGCCGCGTCGCGCAAAAGCTTAGGATTTCAATTGTACTCTCTCAGACTGACAAAGAACACTTTCGAAGGGAGCATTTGAGTAAATATTAGTTCTTAGCTTCTTTGAAAGCTCATGAATGAAAGTAAGAAGAGAATCGATTATTCTTTAGTTTGACTTTTGGTAACGTCATGTGAAAACCAGCATACTCAGCTCTGCTCTGTATTCTCACTCAAAATCCCAGATACTCCCCGATGGCGTCATTTTACTCTAGTTAACTAAGGTTAAGGGCAAACTCATTGGCATTAACAAATGTTGTAACCTTTTAAAAAAATGACTCTAAAGTGGTTGAAATGAAACGAAATGATATTCCTGGGGTGGAATACCCCTATGAAAGGAGGGGCCGCGTCAGATGAAATTATCAACACTTCTTTGACGCCCCCACTGCTTAAGAGCGAATGCACAGAAAAATCGAGCAAAATCGGCAAATCGTGGCCACAGCTCAAAACCTAACTTACCCTCATTTTCAGTCTGTAATAAGGTTTTAATGAGTTTATAACACTGCTTAGGTTTAAATTTCAAAATGCGGCCGAACTTGGGAATTATTTGAGATTTTCGATTTCAACGGTCTGCGGGCCTAAAATTAGCCGCCGAACACGGCAATATAGCCTGGCGACAGAGATGAGCTGACTTTCATAAACGAGCGAATATATTGGCAATCTTCCACTTAAATCTCAAAAAGCAGATATCTAACAATTTCTGAACAGCACATTTTTTAGATTTAGAGAATAAAATATCGACGAACGAGCACAATTTTGAAACGTAATTTGCATAATGCTTATAAATACAACAATTTACCGCTAAAACCAAAATCGAATTTTCTATATGGGGGAATTCTCCAAATCACCCCAAATCCCGCTTACTACCCAATAAGATATAGTACTTCAACATTATCTGAAAGTTAGTCTGGTGTTCTTGCGAACGCTTGTAAAATAGATTGATTATTTTGAGGTTATTTTGCCCCAAACAACCGCTAATTGACCCAAGGGTCAGTTGACACGTGCACGTCACCTTAGTTTTATGCATCGATTTGAGCTCGTTAAAAGGGAGAAACTAACAAGATTCTTTTAACATGTACCTGTTTTAATGAAATACACGCAATCTTCAAAAGGAGAGGCCGTTCAATGGGTAATTTCTGTTCTTGAGATCTTGTAGATTGTACCATGGCGTCTGCGAGTGGACCTGAGTCTAGGTCTGTTTTCCCGTGACTGCGAAATCAGAATAACATCGAGAAATAATTCTCCCTCGAATCTTCGTAAGTGAATCAGCTTTGCAGTGCCTTACCTGAGATAAAAAGTGGCCCGAATAGCAAAACATTTCTAGCGCAATTTGGATCCTTTGTGGAACGCAGTGTATTGCTGAGCGAAAGGTGAGTAAACAAACGTGGGAAAGTACGTTACCTTTGATTGCGTGACCAGCCGGTAAACGATAGTCTCCAGCGAAAAATAGGATTCGCAAAAATCTTGCTGATGTATATTTAACAGTTTGTTACTATAAATTTACAGCTGGTTTGCCTAAAACTTTAAACAATGCATATCTGTCCAAGAGTATAAGAATGTTTCGAAAGATCCACCCCTAAATAACTGTGGGCTACTCCTTTTCCCCCATCACCGATGTGCACTTTCTTCCCACTGTCTTTTGCGTGAGGCTTGTATGCCTTTTTAACTGTTACCGACACTTAAAACTGGCCGTTTAAGGCCTGGTTTAAGAACTTGACTGACTTAAAAACCGTCGCGAACATGCGCTATTATTGTTTGACTTTGGAAGCTTTAAGCCGAAAATGATGGTGCAATCTCGAGAAATTTGCCCGAGTCTAATTATAAGACAGGGAACGGGTACTAAGAAAGGGACGGTCTCATTTAGCAACCCGTGGACAATCTGGGCATGCTTGCCTTCTGTCGCAGGGGCAACTGTTAAGGCCAGGTACGCCGCCCCCACCCGAGAGGATTGCATGGCATCCACCATTTCAGTCGCTTTTTTCCACATTATGACCTTCAATTATCATGAATTATAATGCGGGCCGTGATCGTTGCCACCTTACCAGAAGTCTAATCTTCGCACTGTTAGACCATGAGAATCTCTATTATTATTCCATAAAGGCACCATTGACATTTTCTTGCTCAGTGTCCGGTAAACCGATACTCCGAAGCAAAAATAGCTTTACAACGACTCTATCCAGGCCAGAACTCCTGATATCAACAAATATACCCCACCCCTGCTAAAGAGGGCAAACGTTCCCCGAACTACACACTTGACCCACCCCATCCCTTCGTTAAGAAAAACTACCCACTCAGTCCACTGGACAAAACGCGCTCGTGAATATACCATACTATAGCCGTTCATCCTACAAGCAATCTCAGTTTCAGCAGGCGTGGCCACGTTTCCAGTTACTGTAAGATTAATTCAACACCTGCAACAGACACTGTAAATTAAATAGCAGCCACAACACCCTTCTTTGAAACCGTCAGGACGAGAAAGTTTAGTGTGCGCGGCGGTTTTCTTCCTTCCCTCCCATTGTAGCACTCAAATTCTGACCCTGATATTAATTCTAGTAGTAATCAATCGTTCCTGAGCCGATAGGCACCAGGATACCAGCTTCTTAAAAATATGCTGTGACATCCGTTTGCTCATCTCCCTTTCTGCCTTCCGCCGCTGATTAGGTTTGGTTCTGTGCTTTAAAATAACTTTAGGAACGAAACATGATACGTGAGGGGCGTGTCCGGCTAAGGGCAAGTGACTCTCGGTGGTGAAGACATATACTGAGCTTGTCAGTATTTCGTAGCCTGTACCACGTCACGAAAATAGAACAATGCAAAAGAAAAATAAGACGCCTTTCTTTCCCCAGCTCCCGCAGGTTTTTCGCTTTACTTTTTACTGCACAACTGATTGTACCTTTTCGAACCGGAGCGAACATGGACGCCCTTGGGGTTACAGCCAAACCAAGTCAAGCGTACCCCCCAAGATTCTGTCAGTGAATTGATTATTTGAAAAATGAATCCGTTAGTCGTTCCTGTAACTGGTGTCAAATTCAAAGCGGCATTTCTGCATACGTAATGAGCAGTGAATATTTTACGAGAACTTCTCTGTATTTGGTCAGATTGGAAATCTTTGAATGGATTAAGCTTCTTAGAAGACATTTACATCAATTTCAGGAAAATGGAGCTGGTAGAAATTTCATAACTGCCTCGCGTGTGAATTCTCGGCTCATTATATACACATACGAGAAATACAAGAATGCAGAGATCAATCTGAAATCTACAACTAGCAACGGATTCAACTTTTAAATAATAAATTCATTAATGGATTCTTGGGGGGTACGCCTGACCTGGTTTGACTGTAAGTTTCCACTTCATTTTCGGCACCTGACTAAACGCAAGCGCTGACTTGTGCGCCTATGCTTCGTTTGCACTGAAGTAGCAGTATATGACCACGACAGACTTGCTGCTATCCTTGGTTTGAAACCGCAGTGGGCAAGAACAATTTCTTGAAAAGAGCAAACTATTTCCTCCTTAGCGGGCATGGAGAACAACTACTAGGACTTAAGCAATGCCATTGCTTAAGTCCTACTAGACTTGAAAAGAGAAAGCATGATGCTTTCTCTTTTAATGATTTACAGCTAAACAGTACAATTTCATGTATCTTTTACGCAAAATTAAATACTTAGTTGTTTGCAGAATTGCATTTAACAACAAATTACAGAAATTTAACTAAGTTTAGATCTCATAGATAAGAATTGCACGGAAAAAACTTTTGGGGTAAAAAAAGTCAAAAAATAATGTTTGCTGGAAAATCACTTAATGGACATACAATAGCAGAGATATCATGCCTGTAATTTTCTGTTCAATGCACCTTATGACAAGTCTGGCTAATCCACTGGTAACCCATGCCTTAAAACCGCCTTGAACCTTAAAATTTAATCCATTTGCCTTTCATGCGTAGTGCAAATATATCTTCTGAACACTCTGGGGTTGGGGTAAAATCAGAAGAACAGAACATTCAGTTACTGTACCATTTTTAAAAAAGTGGGACAGTATGTTTGCTAATCATCTTAGTTAATCGCTTTTAAAATAGGGCAAAAAGGACACCTGGTCATACAGGAAAATGAATTTACTGTATCCCGAAAGCTTTGGTTTCCCGTGCACTTCTTTTTCGCAGGAGACAATCGATAATTGCCTGGTCACGCAATCGGAGGTGAGTAACTAATTAAAAGTCATTGATACCATCGCCGCTTAGCAAATACACTACGTGCTGCAAAGGATCCAAATAGCGCTAGAATGTTTTCCTATTCGGGCCACTTTTTATCTCAGGTAAGGCACTGCAAAGCTGATTCATTTACGAAGGTTCGAGCGAGAATTATTTCATGATGTTATTCTGATTTCGCAGTCACGGGAAAACAGACCTAGACTCAGGTCCACTCGCAGACGCCATGGTACAATCTACAAGATCTCAAGAACAGAATTTACGCATTGAACGGCCTCTCCTTTTGAAGATTGCGTGTATTTCAGTAAAACAGGTACATATTAAAAGAATCTTGTTAGTTTCTCCCTTTTAACGAGCTCAAATCGATGCATAAAACTAAGGTGACGTGCACGTGTCAACAGACCCTTGGGTCAATTAGCGGTTGTTTGGGGCAAAATAACCTCAAAATAATCAATCTATTTTACAAGCGTTCGCAAGAACACCAGACTAACTTTCAGATAATGTTGAAGTACTATATCTTATTGGGTAGTAAGCGGGATTTGGGGTGATTTGGAGAATTCCCCCATATAGAAAATTCGATTTTGGTTTTAGCGGTAAATTGTTGTATTTATAAGCATTATGCAAATTACGTTTCAAAATTGTGCTCGTTCGTCGATATTTTATTCTCTAAATCTAAAAAAATGTGCTGTTTAGAAATTGTTAGATATCTGTTTTTTGAGATTTAAATGGAAGATTGCCAATATATTCGCTCGTTTATGAAAGTCAGCTCATCTCTGTCGCCAGGCTATATTGCCGTGTTCGGCGGCTAATTTTAGGCCCGCAAACCGTTGAAATCGAAAATCTCAAATAATTCCCAAGTTCGGCCGCATTTTGAAATTTAAACCTCAGCAGTGTTATAAACTCATTAAAACCTTATTACAGACTTAAAATGAGGGTAGGTTAGGTTTTGAGCTGTGGCCACGGTTTGCTCGATTTTTCTGTGCATTCGCTCTTAAATGCAGCGATCATATTTTGGTTCCTGCGTGACCGCAAAGTCGCCGCTAATGCAACGGGGAAGCAAGGGCGGGGCAGTCAGGTGGTGACACTTGCCGTTTACAATTTCTTCCGAATTCGACTCCAAGTTGGGACGCTATATGTAGGACGAATTTATTGTTGGTCCCCTTCATGCTTTTAAAAGATTTTTCTCTCAGGGTGCTTCTGTTTTCCCCTTCTCAAAAACCAACATCATGTTTCAGGTCATTTTACCTATTGAAATGACCCAAAATGGAACAGTTTCCTAACCCTTTAAATCTGCCAAAATTCAGAGTCATTTGGCGTTCGGCGGCAGTTCTGCGTTCTGCAAAATACCCCTAACGCTTGACTTGGCATGAATGTAACTCCCTTTAGGGCACTTTAAAACAAGCTGGTACAACGTTACATTGCTTGTTTCGGTTTTCGTTGTGTAGATATAGTCTATTGTATTCGTTCAAACTTTAACTTACGAGCACAGCTCCGGATCCGTCTTGTCTGCAGCGAACCTTTGATGGAAGTTTCTTGTACATTTGTTTGTCTCAGTGACAAACGAGCTCCTGCATGGCAAGCTCCCCGGCGTTTCTTTCCACCCACCTTTCAAACAATACACATTTTCATCTAAATGTGAAAGAAGAATTCTCTTGACCTGGCTTTTTGATAGTTTGTCCTTTTCGTCACAAATATCAATTGTTTTAGTCTCACATTTGATCAATGTCTCGAACTTGGTCCTAAGGATGTAAAATTTAAAATATACTCTCAAAAAGATCTCTGAATAGAAGAAGCAACATGCACTTTATACGTCCGAAATCGAAGAAAAGCATTGTTATTTGGCGCATAGTATCTTCTATAAAGTGTTGGTTAACGACGGGAGCCCATAACCCTGTTAACGATGCTTTCCAGACGTCGCCCTCCGTGGGGTACTCCTGGGAATTCTTGGTGGGGGTATGCCACCCAGTTCTGGCAGACATTATGTTATCATTACTAAGATTAGAGTGCAAGCCAAAAAATTTCAAGTCCATTTCGAATTGGCTTATTTCTCTTTCTTTCTTACTCATTTGGAATTGAAACGATAAATACGTTCATACACTCCCGTAGTTCCCTCGAAAACCAAAACCGATTCCAAACCAAGATGGCAAAGCGCATACCCGTTTTCAGACCGAAACGGCGCAAAAACCCTACCCGAGGGGGCAGCATATACCTATATAACATATAACTTATATAAGGGAGTAATTCCCCCCTGCTCCCGGGCGTCGCCCCATGTATAAAATTATCCAAGACAGTCATGGATTCTTGATTCCAAGATGTGGATTCCGGATCCCAGGTACTGGATTTCGGACTCCTTGTCAGTGGAATTTGGATTCTACTTGTAAACGTTATCGTTATTCCGAATTCCTTGAGCTGTCAATTCCAAATTCCAAAGTCCTGGATTCCAGTTTCCACAAGAAACGTTTCCCGGATTCCGAAATTCTGAATTACCGCTTACATGGGGCGACATACGACTTTGAGATAGGAAAGGTCCAGCGAAAATATCAGCGACTTTGATAAACAAATAGTCCCATTTTCTAGAACTTGACATGTGCACTGTTCGCTGTGATCACCCATGGGTGTCAGTGACACGCAGGGCCGGGATCGGGGCCTGGGTCAAGGTCTGTCTTTTTTTTTTTTAAAGAATGCCGTTTTAGGGTTAGGCTTAGGCTTAGGCTAGGGTTAGGGTTGGTGTCAAACCCTAACCCAAACCCTAAAACAGGTCCGACCCCGCGTTTTACTGGCTCCATCACCCATGGGCACGTAGTCTGCTACACAGCCGTTTTTGTGTCGTCACGCAACGCTCCTCCCCACTAACGCGTTGCTTGACGACACTAAAGACGGCTGTGTAGCAGACTATACAGCAAGCAGCTTAGTTAAAGTATTGTACCTGCAGTTTCCAGGGTTTTTCTGAAGATTTTTGAAAAAGTCTGTGGCGCATTTACGAGCATCACAGAAATATTCCATAAATGTGCATCGGCCAACATCAGGAAGATATGCCTTACTTCCAGAAAGGACGGCTAAAATTAAAGAAAATCGACGGGGGTCATTACAATTGCTAATGTAACGTCAAATGTACATGACCTGTTACTGCAATATTTCAAGTGCCAAAGCTTGCGAGCAAGCTCTTTACCGGGGGAAGGGGGCGTTTGTCTCACTTGGGGTGTTCAAGGCGGAATTTCCGCAATGTTTTGGGTATAAAGATATCACTTAGGGTTGCCCCCAGGTGTTCTATTGTGAATTGTAATACCTGTCGAAAATTGTAATAACAGTTATCGAGAACTTTAATAACCAAGCTATCGTGAATTGTAATAACACGTTGTCGTAATTTGTAATGAGCCGAGCTGTCGTGAATTGTTATGTAACACTTTGTCGTATTTTGTAATACTTCCTGTTTTGGGCTTATCTACTGTAATTTTCCTGTCAATCAAAACTGACATTTCAGCTGTCTGATTTGGCCAGCATTGTGGCAATGACTAAGTCATCCGACCGACCATCTAGTGAACTTATTCGAAACAGTCAACCAACCAGCATACTGAGCAGCTATTTG